TTGATATAGGTCTAGACTATTGATGATACATTGACATAGGTCTAGACTATTAATGATGCCTTGACAATAGGTCTAGACTATTAATGATGCCTGACAACTAAAAATGATGCCTAGACTATGATTGATTTCAAAGCAAGACAGGCCGAGACTTAAAACAATGCAAGTCTAATATAGGCCTAGAATATTGTTGATTGGATATAAATATGTCCGCAATTCCCTACAAGAAAAATATAATTCTTCTTCAATCATCATATCATACCCTGAGGTTTCCTATTAAGGAAATATTCTTTTATTCATCGAAGGATAAAAGACTTGATCTCCCATTAGATCTCCCACTGGATCTCCCACAGTTACTATAGCCCTCTAGCGTCTGTAGGTAGGCGCCGGTCTATGTATCCTAGATCTTAATTGTGTTATCGATCGACCCAGACGCGACGCGGCTGCTATCGTAGGAGAACACCACTGAGTTAACTAGCCTATTATAGCCCTTTAGCGTCTGTAGGTAGGCGCCGGTCTGCGTATCCTAGATCTTAATTATATTATCCCTTAACCTAGATACGACGCGACTACTATCGTAGGAGAACACCACTAAGTTAACTATATTATTATAGCCCTTTAGCGTCTGCAGGCAGGCGCCGGTCTGTGTATCCTAGATCTTAATTGTTTGGTCGTGCGACCCAGACGCGATACAGCTACTATTATAGGAGAATACCACTAAGTTAACTTACCTATAATAGCCCTCTAGCGTCTGTAGGTAGGCGTCGGTATATATATTCTAGTTATCTCCTATCCGCGGCGCGATCGTAATATTATTAGGCCTTTTATACTAGAATAACTACTTAATTATACTCCGCGCTAGGCTAAATACTAACGCTAAACCGTACGCTTAGAGGGGGCTAGTCTTAATTACTAATTAGTAATATAGAATAAATTAGTATATATCCTAGACTAGACCGCTTAGTCCGGATACTACTAATCGCTCTTATAGCGGTATTAGAATAGTATAAAGCACTAAAAATAATTATATATCTATAGCAGACTACTAAGTTTTTATATCGATATAATATTACCTATTACGCTTTAAAGAAGACTTAGTGCCTCGAGCTAGTAGAGATATTAGGTCTAAAGGAATCTATTAATAGGGCTAGCGTCCTAAAGTTCTTTATATAATCCGGATTATTCTAGATAGTCTACCTAGTAAATATATAAATAACGCGCTACTATAAGTAGGTCTGGCTTAGGCTACTTAACCTTATTAATAGGAGTACCGAGGGCGCCTAAGCAATATATATTACGCTTTAATAATATCTTATTTATAGTCTGCAATAATTATATAAATATACGGTAGTAGGTAGCCGCTTAGCCAGAGGGAAATATATTTAAGGTAGCTTTTTTGATTAGATAATCCTTAGCGGACTAATATATAAAGTAGATTATCTTATCGCGAACCGTAAGGAAAGAGCCGCTTCTCTTAATAATCTTCTCTATATTCTTAGCGTTACCGGCGATTACTTTTGGTAGTCCGGATATTACTCTTAGCTCTAATAGTTATAGCGGGCGGTAGGCTAATATAGTCGCTAAGAGAACTAGCTGATAGTACTCTCTGCTTCGAGGCGCTAACTATTTTATCTAATCTATTATTCGCGTATATAGATTATCTAGTCCTATTAGTATATCCTCGACTACCTACCTTATGGCCTAGCTATTAATATCCTTAAGTTCTTAGATAACGAGAGCTACCTAGAGAAATATTCCTTCGGCTTTCTCCTAGAGGGTCTATTAAATATACTCCTATAGGGTATTATTATTCTGTAGCGATTTAAGCTTCGATATCCTATTAAAAATATAAGCTCCGATAGCCTCAGATATAAGGTCTATATTCTCCTATAGTTCTAGGCTTAGTATAGATTAATAGTCCTCTAGTCTTATACGCTATTCGATATAGTTTTGGCTAGAAATATATATTTGACGTACGGGAAACCTTTCGTCTCTTAGAGAATAAACCGTAAGAGCTTGTCTTGGCCCTGCACATATTCGTTAAGAGCATCGACGACGATATAGATCTTGTCTAGACAGGAATTACGTAATATATCTAAGAATAACGTATTTCCCGGTCTTCCCGCCCACCCGGTCTTCCCGCCCACCCATTTAATTTTCGCGTCTATATGTATCCCCCACCACTTTGATCACCCACTATGCCACCAATTCGCTCTAAATCTAAGCAAGATTCTATCTAATAAGAGGGTAGGATCGAACTTGCAATTCAGGCTCTTCAGAATAAGAAAATCTCGTCTGTTAGGGCCGCTATAAGTGTCTATGGTGTACTGCGTTCCACGCTACGCGACCGCGTTAAGGGCCATACTTTTCGATTAAGCAGAGAGGCTATATGCTTTAAATTGTCCTAACTCGATAAGGATACGCTTACCTAATAGATTCTATCTAACGTGGTCGGTAAGCGAGCTGCGCATGTAAGCGAGCTGCGCACCCGCCCACTTCTCCATATATTGACACTTTTATCAACCACAATGCCTTTATATTGATTAATCTCTAGCTTTACAGGCATTCCTTCTATGTCCGATCACTCCGCAATTAGTGTATTAGGGTGGACGACGCGTCTTCGGTGCTGGTGTGTCCTACGGTAGTAGGCTTAGTGGAGCTAGTATTACCCAAGCGGGCTCCTTATAAGCCTCCTCGAGCTCTAATGCTTCTCGTACGGATAGTCTATCATCGTGGGCTATCTATCTAGTCTTACGAGCATGCTTTTGCCTTTATATGGCGTTTACGGTAAGTAGCTACTGTAGTGGGAGAATTGGTGACATAATGAGCCTATGTGTGGCCTCAGGCATGATTTAATGTCTGCAGTGCATAGTATATCTCCAGACACACTTAGAGGGAGACAAGTCATCTACCCAATCCATTCAGGATTCACCCAATTTCTTCTATCCATAATACAGTATTAAGATTATCCCGCACGGCCGCAACAGGGCATCAGTACGGCCTTATCTAGTATCCTCTACACCAGATAGGCAGTGTGTGTGTGTGTGTGTTATCTAGTCTGTATCGCCAGATAGCTATCGAGCCGTTCCTATTTTATATTGGCGTCCCCGGGAAGGCTCTTCTATCAAGGCACATCACTATACGAAGAAATACACACCTAAAGGGTGGGGATCGCGTTTGACCCTGAAGGCTATAAGACTGTCTGAGACCTTAAGCGGGAGACTATATTTATTAGTAATTGCGACGGTATATAGTCAGTACGGATAAATGAGAGTAACTAGCCGAGATATAGTATTCTCCTAAATATACCTAGTTCCTACGAGGAATACTATCGGACTAATATATAGGAGATACGGCGGTGCTTTAGATATTACTAAAGATATAGCCTATCTAATTAAATACGGTGGCTGAGTAGGGGTACCTAGGTATCTGATAGCTATAACACTCTATCACACAGATAATATTAATATAAATAATTCTATATTATAAATTATAAGAAGAGGAAGCGGCCTTAATAAGAAAAAAGGAAGGAGAAGAAGAATTATTAAAGAGATATAATTAAAAGTAAAGCGCACAGAGTTAGTATTTCTTTTTAGCCAAAAAGCTATCTCTTTTCTATAAGTAAGTAATAGCGTATAGTACGTAAGGTATAATAGCTCCTAAGCTATTAGACCCTAAGGGTATTCTAACCTTTATAGATTACTGTGAACCTACACTAAAAAGATCCGAATTAACCCTAAGTAATAATAATTATATAGATAATACGGATTATAAGCACTAGCCACTATCGTTCTTAGCTAAACCGCCTAGTAGGGTATAGGCTATACCTTATCCTTATATAGTTTAAGTGCCTTATTTCTCTATATTATTAGCTCTAGGATCCTTAGGAGCACTATACTTTAATAAGACTAATATCTCTGAGTTCCTAGAGAAGCTATAGGATATATATTTTAGTATCGATCTTCACGTCAACACTTTTCTTATTTTCCGTTTACCTCCCGACGTTCAATGAACCCCGCGAGTCACCTCTAGGATCTATCACAATTCAGTCAGATACCCTAACTCCATTCCGGCAATTACAGCATCCACACCTCTTCGTTTGTTTGTCGCTTCGTTTATTTATCAGCCCGCTCAAGCACGCTATTTAACCACGCTGTTTAACCACGCTGTTTAACTACCGCTCCGTTCACCACCTCTCCCGTTGACCGCACTGTTCGATCACACCGTTAAACCACGCCGCTTGACCTTTCCGTTTAATCTTTCCGTTTAACCACACCGTTTAACCACACCCCTTGACCTTTCCGTTTAATCTTTCCGTTTAACCACCTCTCAGTTTAACTATCTCCGTTTAACCACGCCGTTTAACCGCACCGTTTAACCACTCTGTTTAACCACTCTGTCTAACCACTCTGTCTAACCTTCTCCGTTTAACTATCTCCGTTTACCACGCCGTTTAACCACACCGCTTAACCACTCCACTAAACCACCTTTATAGCCATTTCCATTCAGGGTTCAAGTTTTGCGGGTAGACTCACTGAGTGACAGAAAAAATGGCCGACCTATCCTTACACTTTTATCTAACCGATTCAATATAGTGCATTATTTGCCTAGGAGAATGAAAGAATGAATCAGCGCGCGAGATAGGATTGTGGGTACCTTTTCTTAGATATGATTCCCGACACCCTTATCATTTATTTGACAGATCTCGAGGCGATAAACAAAAATGGCAAAAGATGCAGCTAAACAATCGCGTGTTGAAACGAAAAGGAGAAACAGCCAAGATCTTGGAAAAAGAAAGAATGAAAGAAAAAGCAAAAGCAGAAACATATAATAGTAGGGATTCGCTAGTGGTCAACCACCCAACTACTAACCTACCGGCGTGTGATTATGGCTGAGCGGACGGGAAGCCCTGTTCTCCACACCCTATGGTCGTATATGCTGAACATTACATATTGAAGGGTTATAACGTCTCTGATAGGTATCTAATAATCGCGTCCTCCTGTTTAACCTTCTTCAACAAGTAGAACTTGTAAACGCACAGCAGAGCCACGGAGACAAGGAGAGTCGTCCCAGTAACAACTGTTGTTACAATAGCCATTACGGACTAATCTCCTCCTTGAGATGCACAGACGTTGATTATTGTGGTTAATATCCCAGCAACAGCGTTTAACGACACTGGCCTATTGAATATTTAGTTCCTGTTGTCTTGCTGGTATTTGTCTGTGATATAAGAGCTTACACAAAAAGCTTATTGACCAACCATATGTAATTACCTCTGAGCTTCGGAAAATGCAGAAGCCATACGAAAGCCGCAATACCACCGAGGAAGAGATAATAGGCGACAGAGAGTAATAGGGGATTTTGGATTATATGCAACACCGTCCGACCGGCTTTGTTAGCTTGCAAAGCACGCTCCACCTCATCGGAGCTTTGAAGCGAGGTAAATATACCAGGAGCTACCAGATAGCCAGTAAGCAGGGCCCAGTTGGCCGCACTAATAGCGATATTGAAGATTATGTCTATTTCTTCCTCTTCTCTAAGTATTCTCGCATAGGTGGTCTTATTAGTGCAGCTAATAGGCAAGGGCGTGCTTGTCACTGAGGGAATACAGCTATCGTTAGAGAAGCTACGAATATAGGTAGGCTTCCCCCCGTGGAAGAGGGATTCTTGATTTGGCAAATCTAGGTATGACAGGCTATGTCTCGAGACCCGACATAGAGATATAACGCTAGGGGATCGTTAAAGGTATTGTATTGGAGATGCCGACGCGGGTCATCGAAATTAATAATTTACAGCATGCACACCTCTTCGTGTGGTTACCACTCCGTTTCACTAACAGCCCGTTTGAGCACACCATTTAAGCGCGCTGTTTAAGCACGCTGTTTCACCGCACCGTTTGACCACTACTTCCGTAGGACCGCACTGTTGAACCGCACTATTTAATAAGACCGTTTGCCGACACCCTTTGACCACACAGTTTAGCCACGCCATTCAAACATTTGAATAGCCCTTTCGGTCTCTTGAACTGCAGACTTTAATTGAACAAGTGGATGGCAAACCATAGAGAACAGCCAGGCTGATAGCGGTGTGGATCCTACGAGATCGGCTTAATCATCGCCCGCCCGTTCTCTATAGCACTATATTGTGATTCTGAAAGTCCAGTGTTATAACTCATTAGATTATTACCCCAGAGGATCCCTCAACGGAGCATTATATTTCAATTAACACAGGCTCAATTAGAACAAAACAATCTCAAGTAATTTACATACTAGGGCACATACTATACAGTATCTCATGCTTCCTTTTATTATCTTCGATAACCTCAAACACCGAAATCGCATATCGAAAAAGAATGGCGACGAAAATGGCGAGACACGATTGAAGTGAATGATTCTCTTGTCATTTTCTTTTATATACGTAAGTAGAAACGATGTCTACATTATCTAACACTTAACATACAGTAGTCCCTGAAGGAGAAGGAGAGACCTAAGGCTGAGAAAAGTCAAATCGAAGCAATATGCGTCCAAATAATAGTATTCGGCTGAAGTTGACTATCCACCTCCTATTGGCTCTTAATATAATAACGGCCTTTATATCCCTCAGAGAATAGGTCGGAACAAACGAAGGTATACAACCTGTAAATGGTTGGTTAACTACAGTATAACATAATGATCAGTAAACGTTTTTGAACATTTATTTGATTAGTGTCGGGGAACTGACCTTATTGGACCTTACCCAGGCATTGAGAAGGATCGAAGAACTCCTGATGCTCCTGAGAGTCCCGGTCTCCATCAAAATATACTAAGCTTCTTTATAACCCAGCGTCGCTTAAACCCCTTCTCTCTCGCGCCTTAACTTATCAAAAAAGCTTTCGTGAGCGCATACTGCGCGTCGGCCCCCGCACGACCTGCTTGTATTAACTAAGACAATGGTGTCGTGTATATATCGTCGGTTGCAATTATTTTTGCTCTATTGTCCAATAGAATTTTCACAGTGTCCAATAAATAGTGTTCCGCAGCCAAAGAGAGAGGAGTTCGGTTATTCCGGTCTCGAGCATCTACTGCTACGTTATTCAACAACAGGTATCGCAGGAGCTTAGGACAATTCCCCATAGCAGCATAATACATAAGCGATCGTTTTATAGGTCCTTTAAGGCTTCTTGGCGGCTTCGACCCCAAAGAGACTTAGGCATCTCTAAGAAATTCTAGAGCCTTAGGGTCAAGATCAGTGTCTCTGAGTGCAAAGATACGTCCAAACTCTTAATCGATAGACTTCTTAGCGCTCTGAGGAAGTTGCATTGTGATTGTGGAAGAATGAATATTGTAAATATGGTAGGAGGTCTCAAGGAGCGATTACAATATTATTATCCGGCGGCGCAGAGATATTCTATATGGGAGAAAAATAAAAAGAAAGAACAGAAAATTTATTTGCAATATTCATCTTCAATGGTTCCCTCTCTTTCCGCTCTTCATCACCCTCTCTTAACCGGCTCTTGCTCAAATAGAGATAGAGGTAGGCTATATTCTGTGAATTAAGCAGTGTTTTTAGGCAGTCTTCGTACAGCGCTACTGCATACTAGTAGCATTTATTTCATGACCTGTGCAATTCCTAACGATGGCGTCCTAAACGATGGCGTCCTAAACGATGGCGTCCTAAACGATGGCGTCTTAAACGATGGCGTCTTAAACGATGGCGTCCTAAGCGATGGCGACCTAAACGATGACATTATAAATTAAAGAGTGATAAATAAGAGACCATAACAGGATACTGTTAAGCTCTCAGGTAAGGATTGTGTCTCCCTCTAATTTACAATCTCGCAGTAGCTTGGCTATATATACCCTTGCAGAAGCACTTCAATTTGCGCACCACACTTTCTTGTACCTTTGAGCCGGGACTTTCAAAGTTTGTCTACGATAGACCTAGCACTCGATATTATTGGATTTCTTATCGGGGTAGTGGAAAAACTCAAACGTTTTTCACTATCAAAAGACCAATAACAAAAAAGAGGGCAGCTGGCACAATATCTAGCGCTTAAATAACTCCAGATCCTCCGTCTAATACTATAAATTCCATACAAAGCCATCGAGTCTAGCTTCGTGATTCCCTTCACCTTTCGCTCCTATACCGAATTTGATCCAACCACAGGGAAGATGCAGTTTCTGCACTATGCTCCATTTTTCTGCCTTTTTGCCGGTGTCGCTTTTGGTGGCTCTCTGATTATCATTAACAATTACAACCAGTGCATGGTGTGGTCTGAGAATAACTATGGCTGCACAGGCTATTCGGCACCTTTTGCTCGTCTCGACGAGATGGATTGTTCAAGTAGGTATTCGTGCTCTGGGCTGTGACAAACAGAAGATTAACTCTACTTCAACCCACATTGCCAGCCAATCCGGAGCTTCTGCGTTGGCAGAGGACTTGATATCGATTTCAATGTCTTCGGAATACGCGACTTCCATAAGTCAAGCCTCTACTTCGACCCCCGTCACCAGCCAATCCGGAACTTCCACGTCGGTAAAGCTCGTGCCATCAACTTCAGGGTCTTCTTCAGGGTCTTCTTCAGTAGATGGATGCTCTTGCAACCCAGTCAATGCTTGACTCCAGCCAGCCAAGGAGGAAAGTGAGTACCTTGTCCCTCATTAAAAATCAAGGGCCGGAAAAAAAAAATCTGATTGTCTTTTTCTAAGACTTATCGCAACAGCGAACTACCAGTTCTGTTGTGAGATTCGCCCATTGACTTTGCTGAGCCCTGCACTAAAAGTTGTCTATTTCTCGAGTTTCTGTCGCAGCTATCCTTGAAATAGTCGCATCACCTCTTGGCGCCTACAATGTTGACTCCGCTGCGGTCTCCGTGTCTGGCCTATCTAGCGGCGGCTTCATGTCCGCACAGCTCGGCGTGGCATATTCGAACGTCTTTCAGGTCGACTTCGGTGTTTTTGCGGGCGGGCCTTTTGATTGTGCTCGTAATCAGGCTGTAAGTTGAAACCTAAACACAACTGAATCAAAAGAACTCAAATTGGTTGACTCATATCGTCTTGTGCAGTATACAACCTGCATGTACAATCAAAGTCCCTCTATCACAACACCGACTGCAAACATGAAGTCATGGAGCGGCAATGAGATTGCCACGACGAGCAACCTGGCAAATCGCAAGATCTACCTCTGGGAAGGGTCCGCAGACACCACTGTGGGCCCTAACGTGATGAATGCGTTGCATAGCCAGCTCAGCAATTTCGACACTTCGGCTGATGTGTCGTACGTGACGACAAGCGGTGCTGTGCACACTTTCCCCACTGACTTCGACGGCTCAGGCGACAACTCTTGCAGTATGTCTACTTCGCCCTATATCAGTAACTGCAACTACGATGGTGCTGGAGCGGGTTTACAGTGGATTTATGGCTCTTTGAATACTAGGAACACCGGTACCCTCACCGGGAGCGTTGTTTCTTTTGCCCAAACGGGCGAATACGTGCCGCTGGCATGGACACGACCGGTTATCTTTACGTTCCAGTGGCTCCACGGCCTGCAAGCTGTATGTTGCCCTATATGGATGCTTGCAGAGCTACAGTAATATCCAAACTGACTTTATTCAGAATACAGGTTACAACATATGGGCAGGTCAGAGCAAACTCCCTACTACCTTCGATAGCATGTGACTGACCTCTCTTATTCTACAGATACTAATAATATCATCATTCTATACCCTCAAGCAATCCCGGACAACACTATGCACAGCATCTGGGGAGGTAGTGAGCTAAGCAACCCGAATGGCTGCTGGGATTGGGTGGGTTGGTATGGGGCCAATGCTGACCAGATAGGAGGTAAGCTCAGATTGAAGTCAATGTGGAAAATCAAAATGTTAACATTTTAAGGCGTTCAAATGGTGGCCATTGCCAACCAGGTGGCTCAAGTCATGAGCGGTAACACCGGCGGGGGTACCTCTCCCGGAGGGGGAGTACTACCACGTTGAAAACCACGACTCAGCCCTCAACTACAACGTCCACCTCTGGAAGCAGTGGAACTGGTGCCCCCCTGTATGGGCAATGTGGCGGGTATGGATGGACTGGTCCAACAACTTGTGCGCAGGGCGTTTGCACAGCCTATAGCACAGAATATGCTCAGTGCCTGCTACCCCTTTGAGCCCGGTGGAAGAAACTAGGAAATCTGGGCATGAAGATTGGATTGAAGAAGACATATCATGAACCAACTACTAGCCTATGACAATACTCATGAAAAAGTGGCCTCTGACACTCAATGTAAGTCTAGTCCACTAGGATTTATACGTCCCACTTATCCCAATATAATGGGGGTAGAGTAGTGGTCACAGAAACAGCCATATCGTTTCTAGCAAGATTGTCTAGACATCTAAGAAGATACTAGGATTCCAATCCTCCCAAATCCAGTACATACTGTTATCGACTGGGCCCTTGGAATTTTCTGGAACCTCAATTGCTGAATTTGAGCTCCCAAGTGTAACAGCTGCGTGCCGGTCGATATCATTTCTATGCGAAGCTTGCTTTGGGGACTCTCCTGATAAGGCCCCCGAAGATGTTCCAAAAAGCACTGGATATCAAGTCAATCAATGTTCAAAGATAGTTTCATCTATTGCAACTCACCTTGTTGGACGGAAAAAAGTCCCTCGTCTAAAGTTACATTCCCGCTCGGAAAGTTGTATGCATTGTCGAAAGGTATGTTCTGGATGTCCTCAATATTAGAGGGGTTTCCTGGAGAACAATGTGACTCTTCGACTGTAACATGCCGCTCTTGATCCTCTGGTTCTGTGTTGGGTATGGCTTCGAGTCTTGTGGGCTTCGAAGGCATAAGCATTACATTTTCTTCGCGCTGAGCTACCATGCGGATCAGTTCACGGAGTATTGTGCAGCTCTGTAACGGAATCAAGCCGCGAGTCCTGAGTAGTTCCTGTAACCTGTATATGCGGGATATGTTCCGTTTAGACTCTTGTGCTCTATTCGAAAGCGGATTGCAAAAGGCATAAACAACTAAAGCGACAGCGGAGTTGAAAGTGTTAATGGCAAGGAATGCCATTAAATGTCCATCAGTTGCCATTTGAGTAAGGCGTGGGGATTGAGTAACCCTCGCTGTTCGGAGAGCTGCGTTCCACCATTGCTCAGATATCGGTCGTTCTTGGGCTTGGTATTGGCTTTCTGACGTTGAATTTTGCGGAATATTGTCGCTAGATTGCTCTTCCAGCTCATTGGCGTTGGTTCCAAAGTTGTTAGCGATCGATGCCATCTGCTCGCTCAAAATAGGCCGATGAAAAATGATGATAAGATGGTCGAACGTAAGTTGTAATGCCAAAGATTGCAGCTGAAAGACTTTTTCTTTCCTCGTAGAGCTGATTTTGGTATCACTTGACTCATTGAAGACAAGGTTTGAGGGCAGGCAAGCCTTCCAGTCTCTCATCTTCCTTATGATGCTGGCCACTAGATCAGAGTAGCCAACGGGACTCGTTCGAGTACTGTTGGCAGAACGAACACCAAAAATAGTTTTTATTAAAGGCGAAGCGATGACGTATAGCTTGTTTAGTTCTCGCTGATAAATCGAATAGCATATCGTTTCATTGATGCCGTCGAAACGCGAAACTATGAAATCTCTTCTTTCGTAGACTTCGCCAGGCATTTCGACGTTATGCTCTGAATCATCAATAGACGGAGGGCGGCCATAAGTAATCGAAGCCCACCTAGATACGCGTTAGTGAAATGTTGAAACAGCGGATGATTGCGGAACAACCTGTCCCATGTGTAAATTGTCCACCACACTCGTCGTGATTCCTCGAGCTCGCACTCGCCGTTTTCAGGAATTTCTCGATGGAGGCCCATTGCCTGCGCCATTTTTATGGTTGCACCTAGCAAAGCGAATGATGCCTTTGGCTTGCCATGGTAGGAGTGAAAAGACCCTAGAAGAATGCAAATCTGTATTGACTGGATAGAAGCCTCGTCGATTATGTCAAAGAGATGAGCCTCCACATTCCGCAACAGATGTGAAGCCCATACACCCCAGTCCACGGTCTCTCTAGGGGTTTGTCGTTTAGATCGATACCAGGCACTTAGACCTAGCATCGTCGACAGAAGAAGAAGAAAAGACTTCTGAGATGGCAGAACATATCCCTCACAGGCGCTCTCAAGCTGCGAGCGGAACTTCCTCTCTAGGATGACTAGAGAAAACCAATGAACCGAATCAAAATATTCCTCGAGCAAAGTATGTAAAAGATGCGAAGGGGGAATTTCATATCCGAGAATGTTTGAAATTGTATCACGCGCAGAGTCACCAGGGTATGATGGGTGATTTGCCATTCTGGCGTCTCCATCGGGCAAAGCAGAGACAGACGAACCAGAAAGACTTTTTTTCGCCTAATTGGAAAAGCTGCTACCGTCAGTAACCGACTTGCTCTTTCATACAGGCGAAGTTACCTTCCGAGCAATCGACATAGTTGAGTCGGCACTCTGATCCCCATCTACCGAGACATTCGAGACAGAAGCGATAGTTCTGAATTGTGAACATGAATCGAGAGACGAAGAAGCTGTGCATGGATATTCAGTGATTGACCTCGCAAGAATCATTTCACGCTGGTCACCTACATTCCCTTTCTACTGGAGTCTGCCAATTTTCCAGAACAGGTTCAACTTGCGGGCTTTCCAAAATTGGGGACCTGTGATGACGATCACTGCTAGGTATAAGCAACATTCCACATTGCAAGGATCTTTTACTGCCTTACTTGCTTCTGTTCTTCGGTCTTGCTGTCGATATGCATGGGACGTGAGCTCTTTGACAAAGAGTACAGGGTCGGAATAGATCGCACTATCGTTCCATAAGCTAATTGACTCAATGAAGAATGATTCTGCGGGAAAATGAGACTCTCAACGCACTTTGATCTTGTGGCGCCGGCATCGATCGCAGGCGCGGTTGACACGAGTCAGTAGCTCGGGCCTATAAGGTGTAGCTGCCGAGTCGGTACTGCGATCCATTAGAATTTCTCCTTGAAGAAGATAATGTTACGTCTCTCAGGATGCGTGAGGCGGAAAATTGGAAAATGTTTTGCCGCAAATGCGGGGAAGTGCAGTGGCAACGCCCCGCAACCAATTTACATTTCCGCTTTGGAGTGAATTCTCATTAACTTCGACCTGAAAGTCTGTATCTTCCATTCGAGATGATCAAGAGCATTATGAACATGATTCTGGCATCAAAATGTGATTCATGACTGGAATAAGCCTTCTTTGGCACCAAAATTCCCTCAATGATTTTTCTCTTGAACCACCGTCTCATGAACCTTCTCCGAAGCGATTGAATCCAACGAAAGGTGCAAAGATGATTTTTGTCTTTGACATTCTGTCATCTACTGGGAAACGTGAGAAGTTGTGAGATCTCAGGCGGATCTTTATTGTTGGATATGCTGCGGACAACTGTGCTCCGTCCGAGTTCCGGCGAACACGATTGAACTTGACCCACTCGGATCCGGTGGACTACCCCTGGGAGTTTGCAAATCCGATTGGAGCGAGGAAAGTCACTTATCTTCGAAACAAGGCACAGTTTGGACTACCTCCGGCATTCCCACAATGTCGAGGTGAATCTTTTGGCTTTCCCGGCCGCCGGATCCGAATGACAATGGAATAGAGCCGCCACCCACCTCATGGTCTCGCTGGTTGACCCCATGCACCACCTGGGGACCCCAGATGTAGCCCAGCTCTTTCCCCGGATTTCCGGATAATCGCTTTCCGGAGGGAGTGTCCGGTGAATAAGAGAAGAGGCGCGTAGGTTCTAGCCATGGTCTTCTTGTAAACTCATCTATAAGAAGCTCGTCAGGTAGCCCCCCATATTATAGCACTTGGCAATATTTCATTCTCAACAAAATTTCGATGAAATGAAGGACTATCCTGTGCAAGTGGAAGACGCGTGCGTTATGGGTCTGCCTTCGTCTGTTGTTCTTACTGACTTCTTTCTTTCAAGGTACGCTGAGTGCAGGATTGAGAAACTGGATGATATTTCACCAGAACATCTTGAACGCAATGTTGATGCAAAGTAAGGCCCTGCTTCTTTTTCCAAGGATTTTTTTGCTGACACTCGGAGAATTCGAAATCCTCTTTCTCACTTGTCACGCGAGCAGGTCTTGCTCTTAGCTAATCAACTGGCACATGAGCATGATCTCTTGGAATTCTCTGCATTGCTTGAAAAGGGAGCTCTTGTGGCACAGGACCCAGAGGGTTTTGAAGGTTTACCTGAACTTGACGAGGTAGATAAGGAGGCTATCCGGCAAGAGAAGTTGCATAAATGGCGACAACCGAAGGCCCTCTATCTCACTGTGATTCTGTGCTCATTGGCTGCCGCGGTCCAGTACGTCTAATCGGCTGCAGAGGCTGCCTACGGTCTTCATCTGTTTGCTAACATTCTGTACAGAGGATGGGACCAGACGGGCACTAATGGGGCCAACTTAACTTTCCCCCATGTTTTTGGAATTTCTTCCCAGACTGGAATTGACCCTTGGATCGTCGGCTTGATTAATGCTGCCCCCTACTATTCAGCTGCGATGATTGGATGCTGGCTTTCAGATCCTCTCAACAACCGTTTCGGCCGCCGGACCACAATTTTCATATCTGCTATCTTCTGCCTCTTTCCAGTAATTGGGTCCGCATTCAGTCAAACATGGTTGCAACTTCTGATTACGCGTATCCTCATGGGGATTGGCATGGGCTGCAAAGCCTCAACAGCGCCGGTATTCGCTGCCGAAAATTGTCCAGCCTCGATTCGCGGAGGATTGGTCATGTCATGGCAAATGTGGACTGCGTTCGGAATCTTCCTCGGACTTAGTGCTAATCTGGCAGTCTTCCATACTGGATCTATTGCCTGGCGACTGGAATTAGGCTCCGCCTTTATTCCCGCCGTTCCCCTGGCAATTGGCATCTTCTTTTGCCCTGGTAAGAGCCTGAATTTAGACCGCGAAGCTGTTCGAGCCGAACGCTGCAAGGAAGGACAATCACTGATATAAGATACAGAGTCTCCCCGATGGTACATGAAAAAAGGAAGATACAAGGATGCTTTCAGTGCCCTCAAGTCTCTCCGAAACACCCCGATCCAAGCGGCCCGCGATCTGTGTGCCATTCACGCCCAACTGGCACACGAAAGAAAGCTTACTGATGGGAACAATTACGCGACCCGGTTCATCCAACTATTTACTGTACCCCGCATACGCCGGGCTACTCTTGCTTCTTTCACGGTAATGATTGCCCAACAAATGTGCGGCATCAATATTGTGGCATTTTACTCCTCAACTATTTTTGCTGCGGCTGGGTAAATTGCCCTGTTTTCCACACACAAAGGCGCGTGTTAATAGAGAATATGGTCAGATTTACCGAATTCCAAGCTCTCCTGGGGTCATGGGGCTACGGCATCATTGGCTTCGTTTTCGCATTTCCCGCAATCTGGACCATTGACACCTTTGGACGCCGCAGCTTGCTTCTTTTTACGTTTCCTCAAATGACATGGACCCTCCTAGCCGCTGGACTTTCAAATCTGATACCACAGGACAACAAAGCCCATCTTGCCCTTGTCGCTCTTTTCATATATATGTTCACTGCTTTCTATTCCCCCGGAGAAGGCCCTGTGCCCTTCACATACTCGGCGGAGGTTTTCCCGCTCTCGCATCGAGAAGTGGGAATGGCATGGGCTGTGGCAACCTGTTTCTTTTGGTCCAGTATCTTATCCTTGACGTTTCCTACCCTCCTTGCCAGCTTTGGTGCTGTCGGAGCATTCGGGTTCTATGCGTAAGTGAAAATCCCGTTTCAATCCCTGGAAAGTCATGTGCTAAAACTGAGCATCTAGCGGGTTAAACTTTCTTGCGCTGATAATGATATTCCTTTGGGTGCCAGAGACAAAGCAGCTCACTCTGGAGGAGCTTGACTACGTCTTCGCTGTTCCCACTAGAACCTTCATGAAATACCAGATCGCGGAGGCGTTGCCATACTTTATCAAACGATGGATATTGTGGAGAAGAGACGCAACGTTAAGGCAGCTCTTTCAACTTGAAGAGCTTGAGAGACATGAATGAAGATTCATTCCGTGTAAGCCACTCAATGATCTTTGAGTTATTTCCAAGATATGAAAGCTGTCTGGAAAGGTTCTCCAGTTTTCGAGAATGTTCAGGCCACAAATTGTCATGTCATTGATTGATCGATGTTCGTTATGAGCCTATTTGTTATCCGAGATTTGGTAGTAGTAGTCTACTGTCTAGCATAAAGATCAATCCCTTTGCTTTTTCTTTTTCTTTTTCTTTTTTTGGATAATTCCACTGTAATAATGGTGACAGTAAAACTGCCACCTCGGGAAGTGATCGGCTCCTGGAGCATAGGGTGAGTTAGTCACCCTGCCGCCCTGACTTGAGATATAATGCTATCCATTCTGGGTAGAGTAGAGAGAATGGTTTTCTAGGTCCGACTGAGGCAGCTTATGCTAGCGGTGAAGCTCCTGTTCATATGGTCCGGTGGCGAGACCGGAGTGCGGTAACGTTGAGCGTCCAATGACAACATGTCAGTTACTTGACATGGCCTGTGCGTGAGGCGCCCCAAGTAATCTTATATATCGCTGCCAATATAGGCCGCCCGTTAGACAAATACCTAAGCCACGAAATATCTCGTATCCTCTTTAGGAAGGGATCTGATTAAGCCAGTTGTTTCTCAGTTCCGACTAGTCTTTATTAGTTAGTTCGCCCCCTAGATTGTTGGGCATCCCTAGATTGATTTTGTGGAATTGCTGAATATGCGTATGCACTAGTCAGATATGACTTGATGAAAACGATGGTATTCAGGCGATCTGTCATGTCTATATTAATAGGGGCAGAGAAGCAGAAAATCTCTGCATCCCAGGGGACGCCTACTCCCCTTCCGCTCTGTGTCTTCACATCATTGCCGGCCGCCAACCCAGATAAACCCAACTAACGTGTCAATTGCGACCGACCATAACTTTTCATTGAGGAGCATTCGATAGCCTCGAGAGAAGACGTGAGAAGCGTTAAGACACACATTATAGTATGTAGAACAAAACGCTATTGTACACTCTCACCTTCCCGCCTAGTCAACGTTTCTATATTTTTTATATTCATCACTTTCATATATTTTGGAAAGCCCAAACTGATTATCTCCATTCTGCAGTAAAATCTCTCTGCAGCATCGTTAGGATGACAGCCCGAAACGGACATCCCTTGGTGTCCTACCAACCGCTAAGGCTCCTTTTCCAGCTGTCGTACATCGTCATGGTCATCTTGCGCCTCCCATACTATGCCACTATATCTTTGATCCCGTTTCTTAGGGCAAACAGAAGATGGACCGCGAAGCAGACCTTCATGACCCGCATCACTTATCCGTTGCTGGATGCTGTGTCTCGAGTAGGAATCACAGAGACGCTCACTTTGGACCCAGGAAAGGAGGGTAAGAGGTTCCAAACGGTTCCAGTGTCCACTTCGGATGTTTACAGAGGGCCACTGGCATCCAAGACTGTCAAGCCCGCCAAGATTGGAGGAACTTGGTATCCGGATGCTCCTGGAGCGCAGGTGACTTCAAAGACTGTCGTGCTTTATTTCCACGGAGGAGCCTTCGTCCAAGGCGACGGGCGGACGGAACAATGTGGACCCATTGCCAAGTACTTCCTCGACAAAGGGACCGCTGATGCCGTCTTCTGCTTGCAATACCGCCTTTCAGGCCATGGAGGCATGAATCCGTTCCCAGCCGCACTGCAAGACGCGCTGTCGAGCTACCTGTTTCTCCAAGAGCAACTTTACATCATTCCCCACCAGATCGTTTTCGCTGGCGATAGCGCTGGCGCCAACCTCGCGGTAGCCCTGCTGCGCTATCTCTATGAGTTTGGGTCTACCATCAAGATACCGACACCCAAATGCGCCGTGCTGCTTTCGCCGTGGGTCGACCCGTTCTATTTGAATCCTACAGGTAACCCGCAGCGCAGCACCGACTTCGTCCCAGGCACGTATGGTGGTAAGCAGAGCGATCTCCCTAGACTATCGCCTCTGTACCACAAAGCTAATATGACCACACAGCCTGGGGAGCCTACTCCTATGCGGGCAGCTGTTCCGAGCCTTCGGCCAATCCTTACATCACGCAGCTAGGCAATCCGTTCCCAACACCTGTTCCCCTGTTCGTCAATGCGGGGACCTCGGAGCTATTCTTCGAGCGCATAACACGGTGGGCGGCGGAGATGCGCGGAATTGAGGGTAACGTAGTGGAACTACACAATGAAGAAGACGCGGTCCATGATACGTATTTGATTGGCCAACTGATGGGGTTTGAGGAGAGCGCTTGGGGCGTCGCAGCAAAGGTTGCCGAGTTTGTGCAGAACCTTTAGCTGCCTGCAATATGTCCAAACTGATGTCTTCTCTACACTTCAGTAGTCAGTAAGCTTCTACGTCTCGTTCCAGCGTTCTCATCTAATTTTTTCTAAGTCTTCATTGCCCATCAATGACCCTTAGATTTGTGAATACAATGAATATCAACCATTTGTTTGTCTTTCTTGTTTTCCTGGCTGCTTCCTTTAGTGGCCGTAGTTTGATCTCTATATTTCGGCCCGCCCCCAACGAGTAGTCTTAATTGGTCTATTACTTGTGCAGTGGGTCACCGTCGAGACAACGACCGCAGTAGCCTCCTATTCGGTACTAGTCCCCTGCGGACACTAAGGGTGGCTGAATGTCGAGCAGGTCTTGATCTTGATATCCTTGGGGGCAATTGACGGATTCGTTGAATAGTGCGAGCAGTTCACCATTTACAGTATCCAAGGGCCCCTGTAAATTTAGTCAAATTATGTTCTAACTCAGGCGGCTCGGTATCCATAATACCCTGGACACATATTACAAAGAATCTGGGTGGTGTGCGCTAAAATATCACCTCTGGGCTGTTTCCTAATTACCTGCCGGGAATCCTAAATAGTCTTGGCTAAGGGGGGGCCCGGCGAAGAAACCTTCTTTTCCCCAACAACTAACACGGCGGGAAATCTTTAGGCTATAGGTAGGGTCATTTGTCCTATCAGAAAAATTCGTCACACATAGTAGAAGCTCTGGCAGCCACAGCAGCAGTGAGGCAGCTCGACTAATCAGGATCGAGCTTTGAAACAGCATCTGGTTGATGTTTGTGTTTTTGATACCATTAGCAGTTTGACGACTCGACCGCGACACAACATCATATTTGTTGAAGCTCAAAATCCACCTGCAGATAGTACTAATTAAATTACTGTCCAAATACCCCAATGAGCCCGTTGTGCTGTAAAGGGGTGTCAAAGTCGACGATATCTTGCGGACTTGAACTCGCTGGACAAATATCAAGTGGGCCGCTGGAGAAAATTGGCAAATCATACTTCTTTGTACCCGGGCGTTTTCACGAATTTTCTGGATCTGTAGATGCAGCCAATGGTCAAGCAAAAAGAAATAGAGATAAGAAACCCCCTCCTCAAAAACCGGTGAACGGTACGAGTTTGGAAGATTTATGATGTCTCATTCGCTACTGGTTAAATTGACATCTCAAATTATCTTGAACAATAGTCGCTTGTGTGGCAAGCCTTGAATCACAGTACGTCACATGGATTTCACTCGGAGGGCCGTTGTCTGACTCTCAGCTGAAAAGGGGATCTTATGATGAAGCCATTTATAAGCTGTTATTTACGACTGTACTGGAATACTGCCAAGAAAAGGGTTCAAGCGCAGAGTAACCTTGATAGGGTATAGCGTATTTTGACAGAGAGTTCGAGAACGAAATCGATCAACATGACGAGATACTGTTGGTCGCGTCCTGCCCAACAATTATGAAATTTTGATCTCAACTGAATCTAGAGTGCAGAACAATGAAAAAATATATTCATGATGATTCGAGTCTTGCGAAATCAGATTTTCAAAGGTAGAAAAGTTTTTTAAGGAATTTTAAAAGTGACAGAGGGTTGTCCAGCCGTTTGCTTAGTCCAAGGGACCCTTTATCAGATTCTTAATCCCCTCACCCTTTCCTGTCTTCTCCCATGCAAGTGGAGCATCTTCGAACGGCACAATATTGCTGATCAATTCCTTGACCGAAACCTTACCCGAGGCAACCAGTTCTAATGCAATCTCATAATCGCCGGGGCCGTATCGGAAGGAAGTTTTCAGGACAACTTCCTTTTCACTAATAGCTAGAATTGGCAGCCTTTGCTCTGCCTTGCCCATGCCAATCTGAATGTATATAGCACCTGGACCGCATGCATAAAGGCCAGTCTGAGCAGAAGACTCAACTCCAGTACACTCCAGAACAACGTCAACACCATCTGAGACACCCATCTCTTGCATGAACCTTGTTGCAGCCTTTTCCGGAGTGATATTGGTATCTGGAACGAAGGTAGTGCATTCAACAAAAGATTTGGCAAAGTCAAGCTTTGCCTGGTTGATGTCTGCGAGAAAAACAACTCGGGCACCAAACGCCTTCGCGGTAGCGGCAGCCAACAATCCGATTGTGCCAGAACCTTGCACTAGAACGGTCTGACCGGGTCGCAATTCGGCAAGGCGAAGGCCATGCACAGCAACGCTCAAGGGCTCGATAAGGACGGCTTCTTCCAAGCTCACCCAATCGGGAATCTTGTAGACGTAGTCTTCAGGGATTCGGAAGAGACGGCACAATGTTCCATCTGTGAGAGGAGGATCGGCGGCAAACTTCATCTGCGGACAGATGTTGTAGCGTCCTTCTTTGCACTGCTTACATCTTCGGCATGGAAATCCCGGCTCGACGGCGACACGATCTCCGGGCTTGACACTGGTGACAGCTGCTCCGATAGAATCGACAACCCCCGAGGCCTCGTGTCCCATGACCAGCGGCATCTCCTCAGAGACCTTACGGCTGACACCGCCATGCTGCCAGAAGTGAACCTGATATTTCTTCAGCTTCGAAATGAGTCCAAGGAGACCAGGGTCGTGTTATCTTACGTCGCTACCACACACACCAACGAATTCGATCCGAACCAAAATGTCGTGAGGGTCGTCAAGAGGCGGGATGGGTCGATTTTCGAAGCGAACCTTGCCACTACCAAAGAGAACACACGACCGATTTGTCTAGACATGTGAATAAACTGAGCCGCGGATGATGTTCGAGTGAACTTACCTGTGTCATATTGAAGTCTGTCCCCGTGAAAGGATTCGAATTATTGAGCAAATTACATAGTGTATGGGTACCGGTGACGTCTCTTTAAAAGGTTCAGATGAAAGCGGGACGCTGTCGACCGGCAACCTTTTCGTTGATGAATATCCAAAGCAACAATGAGTTATCAGGTTAGTTCCGACGGAAGTCCACATTGGACGCAAAGGATGCAGACCCAATCGGATCCGATGTGCCCGGCGGATGGCCGATCCGATCCATCGATACCCTGACAAATTGATTGGTTGACATTGGACGGCTCATTCAATATCCGGCTTGTTATTACTAAGCTATCCTCCATGCTTTCACGAGGGGCTCGAGCCCGGCTGGTTTTGTGTAACCTTTGACGAAGATTCTAAGGGTAGTTGGGCAGCTTCGCTAAGTTCATCCATCCCAGTTGATGAACATGGTGCTTTCACCTCCACTTGGGGCGAGTTCGATTGTGGCTCACGCATAAATTCTGGTAACTCGGGTTTCGATGTCTCTGCCATCGTCGCCAAAAACGTAGGTCTGGGTGTACAGGGAATGAAAATATGTGATGTGCTCACTCTGGCTTGTTCATCTATTACTGCCAATGCCGCAGCCGTCAATAATGCCTACACTCGGGAAAATTCCGACAAAGGTGAAAGAAAAAGTGGTGATTCAGAAAAGAAGGTAAGCAAACACCAACATCGCAAAGCCGCTTATGTACAGAAATTCAGTTATGAAGAACTCATATACCTCTTCATCCTGGAATGATTTGGCACCCGTGACGCGGAAAACATTGGGAAGAACTGTATTATTTGAGCTCTTTCTCTCTTTTGAAAGAGGTTCGTTAACAGCAAATAGTGCGTTTAATAATATGTCTTGGGAACTGGTGGATTCCCCTGTAGCTGAACTATAAGAAAGAAAGCGTTAGGGCACCACTTTTCGTAAGGTGCTTATATAAAGCTGTGATAGGCACTTATATCCAGTTGAGGTCTTTTGGCCTAAGTATTCCTTGGACTTAAAGCTCCCTAACACTGACATAGCAAGACGCAGCTATAGTCGACGAGATGACAAACGATAATAGAGCAGTTCTTCGTCCATATAGTCAGATTTATGTGCAAAAAACTATACATTAAGGCTTACCTATCTTTGTTGATAGTACTTATAAGTTAAAAAGAGCTCGGCGCGGAGATCGCAGTCATAGTGTTCTCCCTAGTATTTGAATTTGCTGAATCCAGAGTATCTATAACGGAGACTAGATAGGTTTTCGTGCCCCTGTCCTTTTTTTTCTAAGCCGGGATCTATAGCCTTTGGAGAGTAAATAGGATTTACCTTACCTAGAATGCCTGCTTGCAGTCCCTGATCATGAAACCCTAGCAAAAGAAGATTAACTTCTGGAAAGGCGCCTATAAGTAGTGTAGAGGCTAGAATAGCGTAGAACAAGCAAAGCATATTTGAGAAAGTGTTAGCGATAACTCGAATAGCCAAAAAAGCCTCCGGTAAGGTCTTAAGAGGGGTAATGCCTTCAAAAGTGGCTTCGGCTAGCCACATGCAAGACAATTTATCAGTCACGTTCCACTGGAAACATTATAAGATGAGTCTGGTGTGACGTATTTGACTTTTCAGAAGTAGACCGTTACTTTTCTAGACCGTTACCTTTCTAGACCGTTACCTTTCTGAGGAGAGGCCTAAACGTTAAGGCATTTAACAATTAGTAAACGATAGAAGCCTTAGACCACCAGTATACGGATGCAATAATACCAGGATGTGACTGGAGTCAAACATATTCGGTAATTAAACATCGCCAAAGATTTTACAAGTCGAATTGTGAAAGAACGTTTGCTTCTATCGAGAACGTTTTACATCCTCCTAGCCTACCAGTAAATACTTTCACTTTTACTAACCGTGGAGAGCCAATGCCATAATCTAGGTTATTTTCTCTGTCTCCTAGTGCAGACGACGATCGTATACCGGTACTCGGACGACCAATATAGTGTATATCTTAAAATATTTAGCCCCAGGAACTATTGGCCTCTCAATTTCATCACACTAAGCGAGACCAGCTTTAGCAATAATTTTGGTCTCTGTAGCATACATCGTGCAGAGGCCTTACAATATCCTCAAAAGACAACGGCAAAATATAATGAGGCATCCGCCACCATCACCTCATCACCATTCTGCAAAATCTCACTATTCTCAAAAATGTGACAGAGTGTTTTCTTTTTGCTTTCAAGCATAACATTTCGCTCTTTTGTATTCTTCTCCCCGTCGAAGATTTCGAAATTCCGAACTTCGTCCGCGTCGAAAAATCCCGAGTTAAGGTGCTTATCCGATAGGGTCACGGGAATTTCCCCCCCGAATCTGCGTAACGAATATATAATAACCCATCCGAAAGCCCTTATGCTGAAACTCTGTTAAGTACAGAAGCGGGAAAATAGCGTTTAGGGGAACTTCGATGCCGGTTTCCTCCTTTGTCTCACGTAAAGCAGTGCTTATTATAGTAACGTCTTTGAGGAACTCGACTCCGCCTCCTGGCCCCTCCAAGGTCTTACTAAATAAACCGTCACATCCACGTTAAATAAGAAGAGCGAAAAGCTTAGTCAGATCTCTTGGCACTTAGCGAAGAATGATGAAGCCAGCGCTAAACCTATCGATTTTGGGGTTCCTCTCTTAGAGAGTGGATATAGGTATATCAACATCTTTAAGTCTCACCAGGGAGGTCTTAAAAGATAGTGCGTTAACCAGCACACGTACCATAGTTTGAAACGGAGTGCGGTAGGAAAGAAGATTTTGGACTGGAGAGTGATCAATACTTCAACAGAGCGGAAAAGTTGTGAGAAGCTTACTACCTTTTATACGTAGATATATAACTCACACGCATCAAGCACTGACGTAGGTATTAGGGCTGTGTAAACGTAATTAGGCCGGAATGACGCTATTTAATATTCTTAATAAAGGGTTATTTTTTAAAATTCTCATTTTTATTTTTATTTTTTATTTATTTATTTAGTTTACGTTGATTATCAAATATTATACTCATATAAATATTTATTTATCAAAAAATCTATATTTACTAAATAATGTTTTTATATAATATAATATATTTTAATAATATGTCGAAGGATCTGAGCCATCACGCCTAGCACTTCTGAAAGGATCAGAGAAGTAGCTTTAAGGCTTTACCCAGGTAATTCGCTTACTACTATAGTCGTTTGCCTCCGTGCTGGTCTACAGCCTCAATCGGTAATACACGATCTTCTGTCCACTTCTCTGCTATTGCTTAACGACTCACTTCTCACTCCCTTGCTGGCTCGTTTGACGACTCGCTTAACAACTTACTTAACTAATCCTTTGACGAATCATCTCCTACCCCTCATTTCCTAACCAGCACGGTCCTCTTATAGCCCCTTGAGCGCTCGCTTGTGATCGTTTCCCGCTTCTCGACTCGCTTGACGACTCGCTTAACGATTCACTCCTCACTCCCTTACCGGTTCGTTTGGCAACTAGTTCGACGACTCGTTTGACGACTCGTCTGAAGACTCACTTGACGACTTGAATTTCACAACTCGCCTCTTGACTACGTACGCTTTCATGCAGAGTAGTTTCAGTTTGTAGATATGCATAGACAAAAAGGAACTCGCGTTTCTGCCGACTCATTGGACGGTTTTCGTATTCTAGAGAGAATCCACGTCCGTTCCAGTAAGACTCTATTACGCTACGTCAAAGGCTCCTGGGTAATACGTGTACAAACATTACAACGAAGGGGTGCATTGGAAGGTATTCTTTTGACATACTAATTAATAAGGCTGAAAGGGTGATATTGTGGCCACAGCGAGTTGGTGGGACTCATGAAGATTTAAGATCAACCCTAGCTCACTGCTTATCGAGGCACCAAAGACCCAGTGGTGCTATAAAATATATTCATACAATATTGGGTGGTCTTGCCGTAGGTGCAGTCGGAACATTTCACGCAAAGGTGCCCAGTTTCATGGCATTCGACGCAGCCCTTTGCGTTACAATATATGCAGTCTGGCTTTTGAACGAGATAGCCCCTTCCAAAGCATTTAGTGCAGTTGGTCTTTCGAGGCTTAATTTGGAGACCTCCACAATCTTCGCAAATCATATTGAAAATTTTGTCGTGTTCCTAAATTGATTCAGACCTTAGGCAAGCGAAGCCTAGTAAATTTTCACTGTAAACTCACGAACTAGATTGGTAAAAGACAGCAAATAGCCCTTAATGAGCGAGGGAGGTCAGCCGTGGCGTCTCTCCAAGATCTGTGAAAACTTTTGAAAATTAGATTAATCCGGGCCGGCACAGGGGGTATTTATACGCATAATAGCAATATTTCTTGCAGATCTCCTCATCCATTGCCCTTTGAGCCGAGCAAAGTTCGAATTATTTGTCGTTTCCGTTTCTGGGTCCGGGGCCGCGAGTCACAACAAGCCGGAATGAGCTAAAATACCATTGTTACGTGTCCTGGGCTCGAAACAATTCGTTAGATTTCAGTTGCTTCCAGAGTCTCGGTTCACGCTTTTCCGGTGCCGTCCACCTTGTTTAGGCCCCTTGGATGGCGTCTTCAGCTGAGAAACATTTTAGACTTCAAGCCTAGCACCTACAGGATGGATCGAAATCAGTTTCACCACTTACACACAGAGACTCTTTCTCGAACCCTGTTCCAAAACACGCTACTCTTCATCTGACTTAGCTTTGCTTCGAGAATTGAAATGTATTGAAAGCACATCACGTGATATAAGGTTTTATAAATTACATGAAATGGCCTTGCCAAAGATACTGCCGCCTTGCAGTCCTCCACCCCCGGTTGAACCACTTCCGTCATCCTTGCTGTGAGCCTCTTATAAGGGGCATTTGTCACGATAAAAAGGCTACGGCTTGCGCTTGAATTGCACTGAGTCTCTACGATACAGAGATTATTCTAGGAAATTACAATATATCCAGAAATTGCTTGAAAAAATAGTTATGTTTAGCAGGCTTCAGAACAGCGCTCGCCGGCCAGGAGAATATACGAGGCTATATCCACCTGGTTGTCGCAGATGCAGTGAATTTCCCCGTAGAATTTGAAAACAATTAAAGGAAAGTGTGGTTACTAGACGCAATGTGTTTCAGGTTAGGCAGGGTTTACTGACTTTGCCAATTATAACATTCTTGAGATTAGCAGGGCTCTTCCGAATGAACTAGTCAATATTATATGTCAGCTAAACTCATCATGAACAATAAACTCAATTCAATGAGACCGTCCGAATTGCAGACTGCTGAGAAACACGCTCCAAAACAGAGAAAGCATTGAAATCATGATGGAAAGCGGGATAGATGGGTTTTGTAAGTCTGTGCCAAGTCCCTGGGGTACAATCCATGCCAAGAAGAATACTAGCAGTGGTAAAACACAGACAAAATTATAGAAAATGATCCATTGTAGGCTTATGATTTCGCGCGCATAGATCCCCCAGAAATCTTCTCGCTTGTTGCCTGCTTCTTCGAGTTCAGTTTCTTTCTTTGGGAGAAACTTCAGGATGTCAGACGAATGTGCCCCCAGCCTTCTACATTCATGGTGCAAGTGAAGTAGTGGTCGTGGTTTGTGACAGGCGTAGAAACGTTTCGTGAATTCGTGCTCTGGGATTGGCGGAATGTTGTCCATTGGTCTTGGTTGATACTCGTAATCGGTATTCGCATGGCCGGGGAATGAATCTTTGCTTCTGAGCGCGAACTCGTGGTCATCGAACTTGACGAACTGCAAGTTTTATACTTAAAACCCATCCTGAAGTACAAAATAAAAACACTTACTTTGTAAAAGTCACAATGAGAGTACCTCCAAACGCTAAACCAGCCTCGTAAGACACCTCGGAGGCGGAAATACTCCATTTTCATGGTGCTGAAGAAGGTATGACAGGTCATATTGCTAACGCGTATTTGTGCGAGTCTATAATCTCCACCTTGCTTAGCGAGAAAGAGGACGCGGTGCTGAGTGGTGCTCATTTCGGCCTTGAGTCCTGAGGGTGGACGATGAAGTGAAGAGTTAGAGGGTGCACCGCTCGGCTGCTGGCTTTTGTGATCTTGATAGGAGATCTGGCTGGAGATAAGACTAGTGTTTAGGGCGCTGCGAGGGTTCGGGTCAGATATAATATATGCCTCTGGAGGAGGCTACGTAGTTTGGGTCGCTAATGTATCCACGGGAAGGCTTCTGATTATGGACTGGAGGCGTTTGACAAGGGCGTTTGGTACCTCTGCCCATCGCTCTTTACTATATACCTGGATCACAGATTAGGGCTTGATTTATACTATGTAAGGTTATCTATAATTTGTTAACTCACACACTCCTATCGTAACCGAGTCTCTGATTCGGCTAGTGGTCTCGGATAGCGAGGTAATAGCCACCAATCCCAAGGCTCTCCAGTCTAGCGCTCAATTAAATGCTGACAGTAGCTTATAAACCTGAAAAATCGAGAACCAATTTCGTCACGTTTAAATTGAATCCCGAAGGGGCTCACGTGCTACAACTCTGTAGCAAGATTCCGTAGTTTATACCGAGTAGCATCGGCATAGTTCTTATGTTCTGGATTTGACCACCTGCTTACTAGATCCCGAAACCTAGAGTTTAACGAGGGCTTAATAAAATCCCGGAGCCCACGATAAAGTATTTGGTAGGCGGTACTTTCTAAAATAAAATGCTTTATTAGATCTAAGTTCTGCAAATTTCCCTTATACTGGTTATCCTTACCAGCTTCCTCTACCACGGAGTCTTGGTCACTTTCCTTATAATTAGGATCAAGTATCTGGATAACTTCACTTATTTGAGGAGTAGCGCCACTTCTGTGTAGACTTTAAAGATAAGACTCCACTTTCCTCTCGTTAGCTAGGCGTTTTTTAACAGAGGCGATTCTATTATCTGTCTCTAGATCGTGAGGTTTAATATTTGGCTGCTCGTCGATAGGTACCATAGCAAAGAGCTCGCGGGTGATTATGGCCGTATATAAGCTTATGAATCTCCTTAGGTCTTAGTGCGATTCGCTAAGGATCTCTGCCTTAAGGTTATTCGCAAAGTGTTTTAATAATCTCCGAAAATTGTTTCGCATCCTCTTAAATCCGACCGAGTCTTTTGATACGCCGATCAAAAGTAAGGAAAACATAACTCTATCTTCATTTAATAAGTTTGCAACAGCGAATTCATCTCTCCTCTTGCGGAGTCTAATGATTTGGTGCTAGGCATAGAGACTGGAGCAGAAAATACTGAGTCGTTCTCAATGGAGGAGTCAGAGTCCATTAAACCCACATATATATTATGTACGACAGCCTCTGAGGAAAAGCCTAGAGTATGGAGATCCTCTAGCCCTGGCATCTGCTTGCGAGTCTCCAAAACCTGCACCTCAAGCTGATCGGCCTCTTCCTATAGGCCCTGGTTCCGGTACGTCGACGCCAGATTAGCTATGCTTATCAGCGTATTAGGATAGTCCGCGCCGAGCTTCATCTCGCGAGTCTCTAAGACATACACCTCGAGCCGCTCCGCCTCTTCCCATCGGCCCTGGTTCCGGTATGTCGATGCCAGATTGGCTATGCTTGTCAGCGTATCAGGATGGTCCGCGCCGAGCGTCATCTTGCGAGTCTCTAAAACCTGTACCTTAAGTTGAACACGGAGACTATGCGATGGCTGATGCTATTGAGAGGACAGTATCAGACATAAATTTCAAGTGGATGTAACATTCAATAGTTCCAAATTATAGCCTCGTATGTGATTTGCCATGGAACAGAGTATATGAGCTTGGTTGATGTATCGGGATGTAATGAAATGAATGGTCATGTATGGTATCTTGTTATATGAATAAATATGAATTATTCATATAATCATGAATATTGCGAATATGAATAAACAGCTTATTCATATTCATATTATTCAATTCATATTATTCATATTCACAAATATTCATGAATATTCACGAATAACCATATTCCTTTCGGAGCCCTATGCGGAGGATTATATCACGCTCGGATATGTCAGGTGATCCAACTCCAAGATTCCCACAGTGGCGCCACGTGTAATGTATTTGACTTTCATAATAAGGAATATTTACTATATTTGGAATCTAGATAGCTATTTAAACCTACGAGCGTATCGAAGCATGGGGTACTCCGTATGTGTCGGACACTGAATACGTCGGTTCCCAGTAAATCCGCCCCGAGGCAGCCTGTATTAGTCATCCCACTTATTTAGCCTGCCGTAGCGCAGAGAGAAAATTACCAGACTGTTACGCCTGCGAGATTCTCCTATTGGTTGCTTAGATTACGGTCCAGTTCACGGTCCGATAGTATGCTTGCATCACGTGGACCTAGAGTGCGCCAAAAACCGCAATTGGGGGCAAACCTTGCCCCCAAAAACCAAACCGCAATGGTTGCGGTTTGAAACCGCGAAAACCAAACCAAACCACAAACTATTGCGGTTCCCCATTGGGGCCCCAACAAAAACCATTTTTACATAAAATTAAGGTCTTAGCATACATAAATTTGCTAATTCATACTTTTAGATTACTGTTATTAAACTATGTTTTGGTCTCAACACTACTTAATTATATTTTTTGACTATAAAAGCTATAAAATATAGGGTAATTCACTTATATATAAAATTAAAAGTAGAAGTAATATAATTTTCCTTTATTTTTAGTGTATTGATCGTAAGTAGTTAGCTAGTATTAGGTATTAGGTCTCTTAGCTATATTTTATTGCGAGGATATAGGGTTTTAATATATTATTGAACGCAGACTTTTAGCAGAATAGGTTTCTCGTAGTTTTGATAGTTTCTGGTAGTTTTTAATAGTTTCTGGTGGTTTCTGATAGGGTTTAGTGGTTTTTGATAGGTTCTGATGGTTTCTAATAGTTCCTGATGGTTTTGACCTATATAGTAAGTAACCTTTATCTAATTAGCGGCTTAGTATGATCTTCTAAAGTGATATATTAATTTATTTAGGAGTACGTTATATATCGGTCGCGTCTACGTAAAAACCGCATAATTTTTGTAAGTTAGTCCCTTATCTCTTAGTAACTACTATATTTACTGTGTCTTTTATCTTATTATATCTTAAAATTAGCAATCTCCTTTCTCCTCGTTAATTTACGATAGTGATTTCGATAACTATATTCCTCCTAATCACCCTTTTACGCCTAACCTATCCGAGAGTCAGGAAACATTACCTTCCCTTAATATAGATTTTCTCCGACCGCTACTACCCCCCGTAATACCTCTATTACTTACGCGTGTTGGCCCTAGTCGTAATAAAGCCTATATTTCCTACGACAAAATACTCTATAGCGACTAAGTAAGCTAGTGGCTAGAGACTGGATTCGGTAAGTGTCAGCATATTCAAGGACTGTCAGCATTACCTTTGTCAGCATTATCAAGGACTGTCAGCATTACCTTTAGTCATCCAAGAAGACTATGATCTTTATAATTGGTCAGGTAAATACGAAAAGCCACCTAATTATAATAGGTCTATTAAAAGGTGTTCTATGGATAGACTATTAATGATACCTTGACATAGGTCTAGACTATTAATGATGCCTTGACAATAGGTCTAGACTATTAATGATGCCTGACAACTAAAAATGATGCCTAGACTATGATTGATTTCAAAGCAAGACAGGCCGAGACTTAAAACAATGCAAGTCTAATATAGGCCTAGAATATTGTTGATTGGATATAAATATGTCCACAATTCTCTACAAGAAAAATTAATTCTTCTTCAATCATCATATCATACCCTGAGGTTTCCTATTAAGGAAATATTCTTTTATTCATCGAAGGATAAAAGACTTGATCTCTTATTGGATCTCCCACTGGATCTCCCACACCTTAGTTACTAAAGATAAATATTGTTGGGATATAAGGGTAAAGCTACCACGAAGCAGATCGTGGCCCCTTAAGTCCGTGGGATCAACCTTAGACCGGCTGGGTTAGTCGGTGCCGGACAAAGGAAGAAGGTCAAAAGTCGTAGGAGAGACTGTAAGCAGATATAGCCTAAACGAAGGCAGAACCACAGTCCTGAGGATCAAAGGAAGAAGGTAGAGATGACTTTGGAAAGTGGACAATGACTTAAGGAAAGGAGAACTGACTTCAGGAAAGTAGAACTGACTTGATTCTATCTGCTAGACAAGAAGGACGTATTTATAGGCTAGGATAGCCTAGAAATGACGTCTAGAATAGCATACAAATGACGTACAAACACTAGGCAGCAACATAATAAAGGTGGCAAAGAAGGGAACCGAAGAGAAGCGAAAAGAATGATGTCAAGGATCGACGGTCTAAGCCACCCCGAAAGCACCCCCGCAGGATTAGGCTATGCATGCCTAAAGGTGGACCATTTTACCCCTAAGGGAAAGTGGTCCGCCTATCCTTAAGGGGACCGAGGGTCGAAGTCTGTTCACCGGGGTCCGAAGACCATAGTCGAAGTCCGCGGGCAAGGCATGCCCGAAAGCACCCCCGAAGGAACGAACCATTTATGCCTGAAGGCGGACTATTTACCCCTCAAGGAAAATGGTCCCGCCTATCGTTCGGGGGAGGGCCGCGGACCAGAATCAGAAGTGGTCAAAACATCATTTTGATAGAAGAAAAATCTGGTCACGTGATTAATGCAATCTGGTCTTATATGTTGAATATAAGGATAGATCTTTCTATGTAGCATTGGTCTATATTCCAATAAATATATATTATAGATTTAGGATATAATAGATGTATAGGTTATAGAGAGATAAAATAAGAGGACTTATAAAAGATTTTGATAAAAAAAAGCTATTATATAAGAGAAATCTATTTACCTTAATTACGCGAAAATATAAATTAATATATTATTTTATAAGCCCTCACTTAGCTGAAATTCTCTTATCTAATTAGGTTACGAAGAGAGTAACCCTAGAGACCCTTAAGGTACCCTTAAGATTACCCTTTAGACCCTCTAATTATATAGTCTTAAGGAATTATAATAAAAAGTATCTAAGTAATAATCGAAATATTTAAATTTATTTTATATGATAATTAGAACACCTATAAAAAATCTAAATTAATTATTATTTAAAGGAGTCTCTATTAATTTTGTAACTAAAGAAAGCTTTTAATTCAGGGTATTTTTAGTATTAAAAAAAAGATATATTTACTATTATATAAATACAGTACTCTCACCTTACCTTGAATATATATTTCTATAATAAAATTCTTAACTTTCTATAACCCCCTGTAAAAATTAGCCACCCACTATGTAGTTTAAGTTAAATTTTAGAACACTAAGATAATAATATATAAGTTATCTATTTATAACTTATTAAATTTCGTAGATATTAATATATAATTAAGGAATAATAGAAATAGATACTAAAATAGCTCTAAATAATAATATTTTTATAAGCTAAATTATTAATTTTATATATCCGAAATAGGAAAGGTATAAAAAAATTATAAATTTAAGGGTCCGATAGACCCTTCGCGGGTAACCCTTAAGAGACCCTTAGAGGGTTGAAATTAGGGTTAGGGTTAGTAAGGTTAGACCCTAACCCTTGGAGGTGCGGGTGGAGGTTCCTAATCTTGGACTCGCGGGGTGGGTGAATGCTAGGTCTAGTCCATAGTGTTACTAAGGTCGGTATAAGCGACCTTATTAAGTATAATTCTTCGCAGATCACTATATAGCGGGTATTAGAGTAAGATATACCTTGGTATTTAAGATCCTTACTTATAATAATAGCGGTCTAATTCTCTTTCTTTAATTTTATATAAGAAGTAACTTAACGTAATCCACACCAAGCTCGCCACCACACCAAGCTCGCCACCCCTAAACACCGTAGTAAATATAATGAATTCTTACCCTATATATCAACAAAATTTTCGTATTTAAACTTCAAGTCTTGCCTATAGCTATTGACTTACATTTTAAGCAAGTTTTATTAATGTAGTAGAAAACTCTCTACTGTTATACCGCATTACTGAAAAATACGCTCGCGGTATCGATAGATATGATATTCTATCTAAGCGCATAAGGCAATTGATTTTATGATATGAAATATTAAATAGTAAGTAAGATATAGTATACTAATATATAAAGGCACGCGAAATTGTTTTGTTGTGGTGAGAAATAGAGTTAAAAATCATTGTATTTACTATGGTGTTTCGGGGGTGGCGGGCTTGGTGTGGTGGCGAGCTTGGTGTGGATTACGTTTGTCTAATATATATTAACCTTATTTAGATAAAAATAGATATATATAGCTTCGATAGCCCCTTATATAGCTCTAAGACCTTTCGCGTTAGCGCCTTAATAAGGTACTTTATTAGCTAGTCTATCTTCTCTCTCCTATTATTTTTTTTACCTCTCCTTAATACGCTTATGATATTACGCTTCGCTACGGAGGCTAAGCGAATAAAGTGTTTCTCTAAATCTATACCTTTATAATATTAGTAATTACTAATGTAATATATAGCGAAGATAGGGTTCGAGAAAATAAGGCTCCTAATTACTATTTATCGAATTCTATACCGAGGCGACAAAGATAGAATAAAAGAATAGTAATCAAAAAAAGGGAGATAGGCGTAATAAGAAATATATAGGGTTGGGTTAGTCTAAAATATATAGGATCGGCTTAGTCTAAAATATAGGTCTGACCTTATATATTTTTGACTAAGCCGATCCTATATATTTCGGACTATATCCTCTTTAGGAATTTCGGACTAAACGCTAACCTCTTTCGGAATTTCGGACTATCCATACCCGCTAAAGGATAGCAACTTTGAACCCCCCTATAAAATTCAATAAAATAGATAAAAATATTCTGATATAATATATAATATCTAAAGCACTTTTACTTATAGGGAAAAATATAATATAACTTAGCTTCGCTTATATAAGCGTATCGTTTGTGTCGGATTTTGCCTACTAGAAACAATCTCTTGCTTCTCAACTGTGCGAAAACACACCTAAAGAGATACGAAATTCGGGGCCAGTATCCATCAGATCACCAGTACCACTTTTCTCGGCCAATGCCAGAAGTAACCTTCCAAAAGCCCAGCAGTCTGTAGCAGCCCGTGCTTCAAATGGCATGTCCGCAGGAACAGGCTCACTGTTGTGTTCAAGCAGGTCCTTGCATCGATCATTACTACTCATTTCGCGTTCCTAATAGCCATTTCATTCCTTCGACCAAATCCCGAGCAGCAATCTCTGTAGTGGATATCTCCGGGAAAAGCCAGAAAGCGTGCGGAAGCCCTGGGTAAATATTGACTCGTACAGGGACGCTTTGAAAGTTAGTACATGAACAAGAGAATCAATGGATTGTGGGATGTATATGTGGAACATACCTTGCTTGTTGAAGTGCATCTGCGTAGGCCAAGCCCTCATCTCTAAGAGGATCACGGCCACAGATTTGAATGTACGCTGGAGGGTGATCATCAAATCTGGAAGCCAGCAATGGTGAGACCGTCACATGAGCTGCGTCATTTGGCTTGTACCATTGCATGAACTGTTGCATCGCAGATGGTGTGAGAATAGCAGTGTCCTGTACCTCTCTCATGCTTTTCAACCCTAATTTCGTATAATGCGAATCACTCTGGCAAAGGACAGGGATTCGCAGAAGCTGGCCCCGAATTGCAATGCCTTTTTGCTTGGCTCCTTGCGCTAGAACCGCAGCCTATAGCTCAACATGTCAGTGTGCTGGAGTAGATAGACTGTGCGGTAGAGAGATTGCATACCAGATTAGCGCCAGCACTGGTGCCTCCCGTGAAGACTTGGTCCCGGTCAACATGGATTTTTGTTGCATTTTTAATATTCGGTAGTCGCGTATTTCTTAGATGGTGTTCGAGTGACATATCCGAAGCGGAATCACACCATACCCATTTCAATGCATCCCACGCATCATTCAAGGCTGCTGGGTAGGGGTGTTCAGGTGCACTTTACCGGGTCAGTAAAGATAAATCGAGCACGTATTTTGGGGTACATCTCACAGGCTGTAATCCACACTCACTATCACCATAGCAGCTTTGGTGCAAAGGAACCGGCATGTTTTATCTTCTCCATCCAGGTCGCCCAACGCAAAGCCTCCACCGTGGAAACTAAGGAAAGAAGAATAAGAACATATCAACTTTGGCAGCAGCCAAGAAAGAGGGAGGAGGTATATTCTTGTTTTCATGACTCACTATATCATGGTGGGATAAGATGAGTCAGGTCTGTCAGGCCCATTGGGAATATAAATTCGTAGAGCAAGATTGCCATCTTCAACAGACTTGATGACATGGTCTTCTACAACAAGGCCCTCGGTAATCGGGGCTACTTTGCTTTGCCCTCTCATTTTCGCATTCAACATGGATTGTCGAAGATTTTGAACCTCCCCAAGTAGGGAAGGCACGCTCGCTTTGTTCACCTCATAGAACTGCAGTAGAAAATGTGTCAATCTGGGCTCAGGCTGTTGTTGCTCCTTTCCGAGGTGACTCACCTGTTCCCACTCCATGTCTTTCGCTTCGTACTCTCGACCGCGAGAAAGCCATTGCTGGTTGGGACTGTCTGAAATGGAACCCATAGTTGTGAACAAGTCTATATGTGGATTTGGAATACTAAGGGATCAATCCTCGTTCGATTAGAATCTGAAATAAGATATGAGAACCCGCCAATGGATTTGGTAAGATTTAAGTGTCCATTATGTGTGAGCAGGATCTTGGAGAGCCTTGCAGAACCCAGCAATGAGATCCACTACCAAAATACTATTGAATATCACTCAAGCTTAAACCGCGGGTACTTTGGTATGACATCGATCTTCTACCGAGGGTTAGGTCAATTGCCTCGGCGATTTGTAAAGGCGACTCGGGAAAATGGGCAAAAAGGCTAAGGCTGCAAAACTTGATGATTGAATCACCGCTTTCAAAACATAGATTACGAATAAAAACATGCATAAAAAAATATGCGCCTTTGCCACCGAATAGGAATTATGTCGTAAGATTTGACAAAGCCCGAGTTCGTGGAAAGCAGGTCAGATTGCCATTCAACCTTAAATACGTATTGAAACCCATTATGTATTCCCCAAGCGAGCCGCCACCCCAAGCGAGTTGTCATCTCCAAAATACGTAACCGGCCCTTTAATTCATGGTAATTTATGAAAGGGCCGGTCATATAATAAATTTCTCTAACGTCTTAACAACCACTACTCAAATTTGTTTTTCGCTACCGACCGATAAACATTGATAAGCGATGTTAGCAGCATCCACCTTTTACAAGCGGATCAAAAGGTTGTATTCTCGCGTCACTAAATATTACGTTGTCATGAGCAGTAACTATTTTTGGGCGCAAGCTAAAGCTATATAGAGTAGTATGCGTATATGGCGAATAAGATCAAGCGGAACTAATCCATGATAAAAGAGTTGATTGATTGAAGAGAATAAGTATGCGCTCGAGGGTAGGTTGAACTACCCTCCGAGTGTGTCGATATTCGCCGAGGTACTTATAGCACAAAGATTGCTATGAAAACGAATTCACCATACAAAGACAAGGAAATGCAAAAAGTAATAAATTGCTTAATAGTGGCAAGTTACCACTTTATGCACTGACAATATGTATTTCCGAATCACTACTTCGTGAAATATCTCTAAACACACCTTGTAGGTAGACTGCGCCAAAACCCGCAAACCCCAGAGCCTAACCCAACCTAACCCGCGTGCGGGTTTTGGGTCGAGGGCGGAACCTAACCTATCCCACTTAGCCTATTAACAGATTATGCAAAATTACCTATATGAAGAAGGGAAGGAGAAGAGAGAGAGATATTGATTCTAGAGATAGAAGCTACGGAACTAGATCTATCATAGAGGCTTAAGGCAAGGATGCGGTGAATATAGGCAGAATCCCCATTCACTGCGAACAACCTAAAAGTCTAGTTTTGTAATAGCCCTATTATCCTGGGTAATATTCGTATTTATGGAAGGAATCATATATAGAATATGGTAAAATGTTTATATAAAGGTCTAATTTTATATAAAAGCTAGACTTAGAGGTTTTAAACAGATTATAGAGCTCTTAGAAAAAGTAGTATAGCTATCCTCCGAGAAAGAAATATATTCATATTACCTCTAATTACGCACCCTCCTCACCTAGTTTAGTATTTATATCTATTACAAAGATATACATAGGCTATATATAGGCTATATAATATTTATTCATATATATAGAGTCATAGTTAACTAAAAATAAAGTATATCACAGAATACTATATATTTTTTACTAAGTAGTTTTAGGAATACTAAGACCTAGATTCTATAGAAGTATAGGTCGAAATAGGTTGTTCACGGGTTTTCACTTTAAGATTCAATACCTATTAGGTCAGGTTGGGTTCTGAGTCAGACCCCAAAACCCGCGTTGGGTTGAGTTGGGTTTTAATTCCAGACCCATTCGCGGATTTTGGCGTAGTCTACTTGTAGGCTATGTTAGCGTCTCAAATTTGCTGAGAAATAATGATAAGTTGTCGTAAAATCTTGTCACGATATCATGTTGTAATCTATTGTATTTACTGTTGTTAGATTACAGACTGAAGATACCTTTGATGAAGATGACGCTGGTTTAAACTTGTATAGACAGTCCGATTCCATTTAACTGTTCAAGTCTACTAGTTACAGAAAATGAGGGGAATTCTGTTGAGAGAAGAAGAATAGAGAATTGTGCATTCGATGCTCTAACGAATTTTAGATGACAAGAATCAAATTGAGTCACTTGTCTAAACTACTGTCACGCCAATCATATAATGAGGTATAGGAAGTGCACATGAGTTGTCTATGCACCGCCGGAGATGGCTGTTGATACATCGCCTCGCTTACCTGCCCGCATACGCACAGAGGCATCTCCTTTAAAGGAGGAGCTGGATTCTTTTAGGACGACCAGCGATTAGTCTGAAAATTATCATACTCATATCAGGCATAATTCACATTCCTCACTTGTATCCATAGCATATCAATAGGCACCCAAGTGGGACTGTCCTAACAGTTACCTCGACTTCAGGGGCCTTTTGTACGTCTCCTAGGGAGTAAAGTTCCTATGGTAAACACATAGAAGCTTCGCTCCTCATTTATGGAAGAATTGACAAAGGGAAACATGTGGTGTGAGAGCTTGCTATATTCGATGGGCAAACTGTATGATTCGAAGCCTTCATGCAGTTTGCTTCTGAATAGCCTCAAAAATGGGCTGCATTTTCTGCCGAAAAAGTGCCACAGTCAGTTTATTTGTTGAATGCATGCTGACCACTTGATGCCTCATGAACGAGGTATAAAGGCGTAACTTGTCAGAGCATACCATTAAAAAATTCCTGGGCAATATACCCTGTCCTCAATACTTTATTGCCGAGGTCCAGGGAGCGCCGGTATGTACCCGGACCATGGTAGCTTGAGGGGGTTCAACCACTCCTTGGCTGAAAGAAAGCATCAGAAGCAAATATGGGCGCGTAAACACGAGCAGTAACAGGTGAAGATAGGTAGTATTGCCAGATTGTACAATGTCTGCCTCGGGCAGACATATCATGTATGGATATGCACCGTAAAATCTCCCTGTTGGTTGAGAGAAGAGACGGAGAAGGAATAAAGTCATAAAAAAAGTATAGTCATAAAAAGAGTACATTGATATTTACATCTATTGACTAGAATCTTTCTTCATGTCAGTGTGATACAAACTCAAAACCCGCCTCCGGGTGGTCAAAATAGAATGCAGTGTCTTTGCCCTCTCCCTCCTTGGTCGAAAAGCCATTACCCAAGTAAGAGAACCGGTTGGCCATTTGGCCCTTCCAGACATAATCCTCGTACCGAGGTTCATCCAGCATATGAAAGTAATGAACTCGACTCCCAGGGTGTAAGGCTACAACTGGTCCATCAACGGTTCCATTTTTGAACCAAGATCGACAATGGGTGCTCCAGGCAGTTCGCTTCATGAACACATCAATGTGTCTATTGAAGTCATCAGCTGCTTCCTGTGTGACAACCACAGATTTGTAGTCCTGGGTCTGGAATTTATGCATCATACGAAGCATATATTTAGTTGAATGTTCGACAATCGGAATCACAGATCCATGACCAATTGGAGCGCTTGGGCCGAGGAACACTGCATAGACTTGTAAGCTCAGAATCAATCGAGTGAACAGTTGTGCTTACTGAAATGGTTAGGGAAGTTGGGCACCGCCAATGAGAGATAGCCATTGGGGCGATCCTTCCACTGTTGCGAGAGACTAATACCATTCATCCCCTTGAATGGATATCGCGGACGGAAAGAAATGTCAAATCCGGTTGCACAAACGAATATATCGACGGCAATAACCTCGCCAGTGGATAACTTGATTCCCTCCGGCACGATTTCCGAGATGCTGTCAGTCACGACCCGCACATTCTCTTTGCCCAGCGACTCCAGGTATCCGTTTCCGGGGGTTGGCCTACGACAACCAACAGCGAAGGATGGGATCATTTTCAGGAGCAAAGGAGAGTCCTCGCCGAGCTTTCGCTTCATCTCATTGATTGAAAATCGAACAGCCTCAGCCTGCTCGGGGCTATCCTTCAGGATCTGCGCTGTCGGTCAGTGTAGGAAAATTGCGATGAAATTGAGAAATACTGACAAATTTGAACCGGTTGTTCAGCTCTTGCTCAACCTCCTTGCGGTACTTCAGGTAAGTCTCTGGCTCCTCTCTAAACTTGCGCTTCTGTTCCTCGCTAACTATGTGGTAGTGAGCGGCTATCCGTCATATAAGATGATTCGGCAACATACAGTTGAAGTTTGATCCGCCTGGTCCCGCTTTGTTTTGCGCAAATCCGGCCGTGATCCACGTAGGGGAGCGAATGAAAGTTGTGAGATGTTTCACATCTAGCCACTTTCGTTAGCGAGCGTTCCACCAACATTCGAAATATACATACCAGGTTGGAGAGTAGGAACGATCTGAACACCAGAAGATCCGCAGCCTAGGACTGCGACTTTTTTTCCTTTCCAGGCAACATTATTGTCCCAAGCAGCGCTGTGAACAAGTTCGCCCTTGAAGCTGTGCAGACCAGGGATGTCAGGCCACCTCCAATTGCTATTCTTAAATGTTAGATATTGTGGTCGCCAAAACCCGGGTATGCAAGAAAGCAAACCGACTTTAGGATTCCCGATGCAGAAATCAAAAAATGGCACCAGTCATCGAAGACCTTGCCTGAAACCAGATCCTTGATGCTCAATTTCCAGATTCCTTGTGCCTCATCCCACTCAGCAGCGATGACCTGGTGACTCAACTTGATGAACCTATAGAGTTCGTACTTCCGGGCAACGTCACGGAAGTATTGAAGAATTTCCGGGGCTCTCGAGTAACTTTCAAACTTGCGAGTTAGAGAAAAGCAAGCGAGAAGTCTGATAGAAGGGGGATCTTACAAAGTCGTCCAGTTTGGATTGGCCTCCCAGGTGAATTGGTAGTTGTGAGACGGGATATCACAAGCACAACCCGGATAACGGTTTTCGTACCAGGTGCCTCCAACCTCTGGGTTCTTCTCATAGATCGTAAGATTGACGTTGCTCATGTGCTGGTCTATCTGACGGGCCAGATTTAATCCTGACGCACCAGCACCGATAGCGATTACTCGCAGATCGCGGGGCTCCCCAAGGCGCTTCTCCTGAACGACATAGGCTTCAGAGGCTATGGTGTCCAAAAGCTCAGACGCAGAGGTACCAGCTGAGTCGATCATGATGATTGGAATGAATTGAAAAACGAATCCCGTGAAAGTATTTGCTCTCTCTCTTTACAAATCATTCCCAGCTGAGGCTTGACGTGCATCATAAATAAGATATCATCTGGGCTCTAGTCGCTTCTTCGCCAGAAAAAAAAACCGGTGTCGGCATTCTTCCGCGTGGAGCTTACTGTGGGCATGGGTATCATTGAGATGGCGACTCGCTCGGCATCGTTCGGCACGTCGTATCCCAACATTTCGAGTCCCCGAGGTATTTCAACCCCAGAATTTCTCACTTCGTACACATATCGCACCTATGATCACATGTCACTACACGAACCTTTGGTTAGTAAATCCCGAATTTTTGGTGAGTGGTTTGATTCTTCGCCATTGCTCACTAAAACGCATGTATTTGCTTCCCCGCTTAATCTCGCTGTGCCCCACAACTGAATCGCGGGGAAGTCACGATGAGGCAAAGGGGATTTGGTTCATTAGGAATGATTCTTAATTCGTGATAGTTAATAATCGACAGCATTAGCTCCTCTGACAGTGACCAGGTCTATCTCGTTATGTCTCCGCCAGCTCAACAGTCCTCTCAATCCCCGCGCCAGCCTGCGGCGGAGATCTGCAAGCGTGCGAAGGTCGCCTGCAAATCTTGCCATAGACGACGGGTCAAATGCGATGCTGCTGAATCACGGCCATGTTGGCACTGCCGTCTGCGAGACTGTCCTTGCGAATTGATTGTGTCCCGACGAGGAAAGTAAGTCGCAGCTTTTTCTCCTTAAACAACCAACCCCCCCCCCTCCTTTCTTTTCCACTTTTCCACGTTTGCGGGTTATCTCCGCGCACCTTACTTATAGCTGCAGGTACACGCGGAGCAAAACCGCAAACACTGGAGCTAGCAATGTGCCAGCATATACCGCAAAGCCTACCTCGCCTACCGTTGACGACCCCACCCCTCAAATTATACACGACGACACCCACTCCCAGCATTCCACATTGCTAGGCCAGCCGTTAAGCCCACCCACCACAGTTGGTCTGGCCGAAACTCAAAGCACCAGCGACAGTTTAAATGAAGGCTCAGAGATGCTCTATGCCCGACTTGCTGAGCCTGACTCGACTCAAGTCTCACTGAACCTTTTCCCCCCCCAATGTGAGATCCTTTTATATGGGCGAATCTTTCAGTCTCGCTTTTATTGTCCAATCACTATCCAGCAATCCAGCACAGAGATCTGGACCGAAGCTTCACTACCCGATCCCAAATACAGTAGTCGAACACCAAGTTTCCGCAGGGCGATTGAAAGCCTCCAACCCATCCGCTTTAGCTTACCTCAATATGTATGGTGCATTTATTGTGCCATCTAAAGATATAAGCGACAAGCTCATTCGCACATTCTTCGAATCTTTTCATCCTGCGTTCCCTGTCTTTGATCGCCAGGAGTTCTGCGCATTGTACAAACAGAACCAGGTGCCAATTTTGGTCCTCCAGACCATCTACTTTCTCTCCTTGACTATATGCAGCGAGAGTTTTTTAAGAAGAGCGGGATTCGTTGACCGATACAGTGCTCGAAGAACATTCTATCTTCGTGCCAAGGCACTTTACGACATGGACTATGAGAATAACAAGGTGAAGCTCACCGCTGTACTCTTTCTGCTAGGCTTCTGGTGGGAGAGACCTGAAGATCAGAAGGATACATGGCATTGGCTTGGAGCTGCCATAAGTCTTGCTCAAACTCTGGGAATGCATAGATCGTACATTCATTCTGCCCGCAATAATTATCAACACCGGTCTAATACATCCCAGGACTGCAAACTCAGGCATGTCGCTTCGTCATCGATCATTATGGAAAAGAATATGGTGGTCAATATATGTCAGTTGTTTTCTCGGCTTTTTTTCTAATTCCTTGCTCTCTTTCTGACCGTTCATAGGTTCGCGATCGTCATGCGGCGGCGGCTCTCGGTCGACCTTGCCGGATTCGTGACGAAGACTGCGACATTGAAATGTTGAACAATGATGATTTTTTGGTCGATCATGAGTATGACAATGGCCTCCTAGGACACGAGCATGAGTATAATTGGGCATATGCTATTGAAATGGCAAGACTTGCCATTATCAGTGAGTTTCACTTGGAAGGATCCAAACATCCACCGCCTTTGATGAACCTCAGCTTACCAAAGTACTATTTCAGTGGGTAAATTACTTTGTCATGAATGTGCCCCGCATGGGTCCGCAATATCTACTACTTCTGAGGATCTTGATCAGGAGCTTCGGAATTGGGAAATCAACCTGCCCCCAATTCTGCGACGTCAACCAGCACCCGACTCCTTGGGGGCGCCATTTTGGTCTAGCATGTTATATGCAGTCTATTAGTTAGTCTCTTCGATGTCCACATCTATGGATATGGTATATTCTGACTGATTTGAAGCAATTGTGAAATTCTACTTTGTCGCCCAAAGGGTCCGGTCGCGCTCCCCGCCAGTCATGCATTATTTGGAGCGAAAGCGAGGATGGCCGCAGACTCCATCACCCGGATTGTAGAGGATCTGTTGGCCGCGAGCACGTTAATGATGGGGCAGTTGCATCTGTACGCCACTCATCCTAATGTTATAACCATTATCCATCTACTGATCAGCTAACAGGGTCCCCGCAATTTTCGCTGCGCTTTCGATACATGCACTAGTCATCCGAGGAAATGATGGTGTTCAGAAGCAGCTGGCAGAAAATCGAGCCCGACAATGCATACTGGCAATGGGTGAACTTGCTAAAGGCTGGCCTGTGGCCGGATGGATTCTTCAACTTTTCATTAAGCTGATGAACAGGCTGACTGGTCCAAGCAGTGGCTTGAGCAGACGCCCATCTCCGCAAAGGGAAGAGCGTTCAGAGAACCACTTTTCCATGAATCAACAGACTGCACAAAGCATAAGTAACCCACTTTCGTACGTACCAGTCGAGGGTGACCTAATATGTGGCGGTGAAGAGGAACAGACCGACCAGCTTATGTCGGACATAATATGGGCGCCAAATCAATGCGATCTTGATTTTGATTTGATGTTCAGAAACACTCAGTTGAACGACCTCTTCCCATTCAATTTTGGGTAGTGGCTTTCTCTTGATGACATTATATGCCAATGAGAATTTCGTGCACAACAAAGTTCCAATTCAAGTTACAAACGCAACCGACAGGTTCAGGGCGCAAAACAACGGCAGGTCTCAGATCTTTGAGATCGTTCTGAAGCACGCCCATGCTGATGAGCTAAAGTAAATCAAAGCTTAGGGTTGTTTTTTTTGTATCTGAAGAAACCCCGTCCTGATTTGACGCCTAATTGCCCTGGAGCAAGCATTTCCTTAAGAGGTTCTGGGGATCCTTCCGTGCCTCCGCATAGTGCTTTTCAATATCCAGCACTACGTCTAGACCCACTGTATCCATTTGCTCGCATGGACCCTTCGGAGTCTTGAGCACAGCTTTGAAGATTTCGTCAATCTCTTTGGGTGTCGCGACACCTTCTCCCAAAACCAAGAGCGTCTCGCGATTGATGGCAGCCCAGATTCTGTTCAAGAGGTCAGTTCAGCAAATCAGATAGTAAAAGCGTTTCTGGAGGTATCATTACCTGTTGTACATATATCCTGTTGAAGATTTTCGGACATGGAAAGGCTTGAAACCATGGGTGGCAGTTTCCTTCATAAGAAGAGAAATAATTTCCGGTCTTGTTTCGCTAGACCCCATTATCTCGATAGCTGTTCATCAATTGTTCGTGAGATGTCGTATATTGTATATCCCATAGAAATAAGTATCCTTACCAGGAGTTTCCGGTGCCCAATCTACATAGATACACAATAAGCATTAATCTCAAAGTGAGTCTAACTTGGGGGCTGAGAGTGACACACATGAATGCAAACTGGCAAAGCGAATCGGGGATTTGACATCCATGCTTCCCAGGATTTCAGTAATGGCATAGCTGCTCGAATTAGAAGCAACGATTATCTGAGACGTGGCTAAATCGTCAAGCTGTTTGATAACAGATCGCTTGAGCGACAGTGTCTCTGGCACGCACTGATTACTTGGATAAGTCTTTTCATACAGGCCAAATGCTAATGGAAGCTGGATTTACCTCAACGACAAGCCATGATTCGAGGACAGCTGCCTATAATCCTTCCAAAGAAGAGCATGTCAGCGAGCCCCGAACGTCTTTGGCTGGCGATGTTGCGAAGGGCCAATTGCTTCAAAGATTTTGGATGTTCTTCTTGGCCTGATCAAGATGAGCCTGGTTTTTGTCGATAAGATGAACTGGACGTCCACATCGGGACCACTGGAGGAAAATAAAAATAAAACTAGTTAATAACTCCCAATGAGATCTTGGACCGTAGTTATTACCATATAGGCCAAGCGAGTGCCTTGGGTCCCGGCACCCAAAAGGATAACTGCTTGTCCGCGTAATGACTTCATGAAAATTGTCGTTGTTGGCAGAGAGTTCTGAAAGATAGAATGTTGACAATCGTGTCAGTTTTGAGCGTTATGAATGCTGAGTGAGTGAGATTATCATTGAGGGAAGGAGAAAGGAGTGTTCCCGGTCCCACTCTGCACTAAAACACCTCGGTAACTTGGGTAAATAGGTAAGTCCGCCCTACGTGAGCCATGGCTATCTTGTTTTCTTAAGCTTTCACTCAACTCATCCGAAGTCCCCATTTGAATATCCCATGACCCAGTGCGCCCAATTCGCCTTTGTACCAGGCCATACATACTTTACTGTACTGTAGCTGGTTAGTTTTCGCGAGGAACAACCGGCGACGGTAGGCTCAATTACAAGATTTCCATTTGGCAGAATTGGTATGACAAGTTCGGAAACCTACGAAATCGATTCATGGAGCTGGTTGAGGTGCGAAAAGAACGGCATTGTAAAGTATAAACGGGACTCATTTGGGAACCCCACGCCCTAGAAACCTATCATCTACACTTGCTTGACCAGAAGTAAAGTAATTGATTTCGGCTTAATACTTTCAGAGAAGGATGACTGAGTACAGAGATATGTGTAAGAGTGATGGATTAGTGCAATAGGAGAAGTAGTCTATCTAGTCTACAAACAGATAGAATTCCCCGCCCTATCTCAAAGTACACTGAGCATCATCGCGAAGCTCTGATAAAGCTGTTCAGCTCAATTGCGGTCTTGGAGAAAGTAATTGCAGGGCTTGCCGAAGGGAACGTTGGTTCAACCATGTTTTTGGAGTTGCATTAAAAGGTCACTTAATGATACATTCTTCGTAAATGCTCGTGACCTTATTTTGATCTAGTTGCCGGGGTACTATGTGAGCCAGTGGACCGAAGATCATTAGCTTTCCCCGCGTTAACTTTCGCCCCAACAGATTCCCCCAGACGGCTTTATGTTCCCCGGATCCGGCAACTGCACAAGCAACGAAAATAGCTTGGCATGGGGGATTCGTAGGATACTACACGGCAGATTTCCCACACCCTCATGGTATAAAAACAACCTTCTTTTCTCACTCTTCTGTTCCCGCTGGTCAATGCTGAGCAAAAACTGCCTAAGCGGAGCAAAATGGGAATTCAAAATCTTCGCGGCCGAATGCTGCACCTAGCCATATGGGTCGAAGCCTGCTTCGGTGTTATGACCTTCGGGTATAATCAGTCGTCCGTTGGTGGTGTTCTCACCAGCCCTACCTTCAACCATCAGTTCCCCCCGCATGGATACCATTTCGACCACTGGCGCCCAACAGACAGAGAACGCAAAGATTCAAGGTATGTTTTATGGGTTGTGAGACACATGAAGCACGCTGATCGAAATCAGGAACTGTTGTGGCTTTGTATACCCTTTGTGGAACATTTGGAGCACTTAGCTGTATCTGGCTTGGTGATTTGCTCGGTCGTCGAAAATTGATCTTTCTATCGAGCTTTGTCTCCGCAATTGGATGCATCATACAGTCTTCGGCTTTTGAGATGAGCCAATTCATTGTCGGTCGAATCATCCTGGGCCTTGGCACTGGTGGAATCATTGCCACCGTGTCAGTCTGGCAGTCTGAGCTATCCAAAGCCGAGACTCGAGGCGCGCATGTCACAGCCTTCGGAGCCTTCTGCGGCATGGGCAACTCTCTAGCCCTATGGGTGGGCTTTGGAATGTCCTTCACACAACCGAGCTCCCTCTCCTGGCGCTTTACCTTAGCCTTGTCCATCTTCCTCTCCATCCTCACCTGTTCAACTATCTTTTTGCTCCCTGAAAGTCCTCGCTTCGTCGCTATTAAAGGCCGTTGGGAGGAGGTACGCGATACACTGGCACGTCTGCTTGATGTGGAACCTCACAGCGATATCGTGAACACGGAGGTTGAAAACATCCGGGTATCACTCGAGCGTGCCAAGACAAGCAAATTAACCGATCTCTTCACAATGGGCCGTCAACGGGTGTTCCATCGCATCGTTCTCGCTTCGTCCGTTCAGATCATCCTTCAAATGACAGGAGTAAACATCGTCGTCTCTTATGCGCCTACCATCTTTGAGCACCAACTTCATTTCGACCCCATTAAATCCGGTGTGCTGGCCGCATCATCCCAGGCCGTTCTCATCATCGGCTCTCTCTGCTGTGTCCTGACCGTGGACCGTCTTGGACGTCGCAAGCTTATGCTCTTCAGTGCATTTGCCAGTGCGTCATGCTTGGCCGCACTCGCCGGGCTCACTGCGCATCCTGAAAATAAGGCAGGGCTGAAAGCAGCAGTCTTCTTTACCTTCTTCTACTACTTTGTCTACGTCATCGGATTTTTCGGTATTCCATTTCTCTACGCGAGTGAAATTGCGCCTACCCATCTGCGGGCAGCCGTCTGCGGAATTTCCACTGCGTTTTCCTGGCTGTTCAATTTCCTGGTTGTTGAAGTGACCCCCCCTTGCATTCAACAACATTGGCTGGAGATACTTCATCGTCTATTGTGTTCTCAATGCCTCGTTTATTCCCTTGATTTATTTCTTCTTCCCGGAGACCAAGGGACGCACTCTTGAGGAAATCGACGAGATCTTTGAGCATTCGACATCTGTTTTAAACGCTGTTTCTTTGTCCAAGAAGTTCACTACACTCGCTTCATCTAGCGACTCGTCTCTCTCCAACGAAATTGTGGCGGCCAAGGACGAATATACTTGAAAATTCGCTCGAAGGGCAGTCGGCGGTCATACGTGTCTGCGTTCTTCTGTTCATTTTCGTGCTTGAGTTTGTATATTCTGTCATTTACTCCACCCGTTTGACTATCTAAATTATGAATTCTTCGAAATTAAGCGATTATTGTGACGTATGACTATCTTAAGGCCTAAGGGAGGCCTAAGGGGAAACGTGATCTGGAAGGAGCCGTGGGTCTAACCCGATTAGGGATAGAAGTGGTTTTGTTTCATAGATACTCGTTTCCCTCTTTCCCTCTTCTTCTTCTTCTTCAGTTAAGTTACTTCTCTTAATAATACACGAATTCTTCTTCGTCTTGGTCGGTAACAATTATGTCCTGACTGATATGTGTGGATGTGGTACAGTAACAACCTTACGGAACAAAGAAGATCCCAGGGCGATCCTTCGTGTGTCTAGGCAATTTTCCAATGGGTCGGGACTGAAAACATGTAACGTTTGCCTTAGTCACAACAAGGTCCACACCAACCTAAGACAAACATAATGTGTGCTCTTGATGACATAAATAAAGTGATACTATGGTCTGATCTCAATGAGAAAACCTTCTATAAGAAGCTATGGATACAATTTATGTGAAAGATCAGTAAGGGATATTTAGTAGATCGATCTAAGCGAGGCTACTGCTCGGGAGTGAAAAAAACACAGACATGTATACGAGACGCCAAAGCAATCCTGAAAATACGCTTTTATTTTATAGAGTTGCTTTATACAAGCCAAATATAGTTCACTTCATAGCTATTGATTCACAGTGCTGGTTTCCAAAATGGGGATAGTCATGCTTGGGTGCTTGAACTTGACCCCATAATGCTCCGCCAGACTGACAACAATGGACCTAATAGCCACCAAGTCCTCATGACTCGCGCCGCGCATCAGCATTCCTAGCATGTGATTCCGGGCTTGCTCATGGCAGTCAATGCCTAGTAAAGCAGCCACGACAACTTGCCCAGTCTCAAGATTGTCCAAGACCCCAGTGAAAGAGAAAATGTGTCCATAGAAGAGTTCTGTGACGAGAGGGATGGATGAGTATTGGAGGAAAATAGTCCAGAAATTAGAAGACGAGCCCATACCTCTCACAATGTGGTAATAATCCGGGGATGCGTTTAGCGTTTTATCGGAATCGTAGCCAGGAATATTGTCATAGATTGAGGAATAATTTTCTGCTCCACGACGGATGGCCTCTTCTCGGGTGTCACCAGCTCTGTGATAAGTCGAATCCGCTAGTTCTGGCGGAGTCGCTGTTGCCAAGGCTCGAAGAGCACTTCCTGTCTACAAAATCCATTCTGAGCATCATGTTGAAACCATCCCCAGGTGATCCATTCCCTTATGCTACTGACCTTGGCAGCTCCATGAATCCCGCACACCTTCGTCAACCCTTCTCGCATCTTGCTAGTCTCCGATTTCTGATCCGGTTTAGGAATATGGTCTGAAAGGAGGAGCGTATATAGCTTCGGGATCTCTTCTGGATAATTCAGGGCGCCTAGCGCCACAACTGCTGTCAAGTACCATTTGAGACGTGGTGCCAACCTTCCTATAGCGGTCAGGGAATGGTAGAGGTTCACGTCGAAAGGCATCGCCATGATCATTGGAAGGAAGTGTTGATCACAATGAGAAATGAAACTTATCGACGCCGAAGGTGATTTATAATATGGACACATTGCTTCTCAGTCCGGATAACTCATCTCCGACTGAAGGATGTTAGCAACACTGGTGGATTGATAAGCCGCGCTTGAGTCGCCCGACGTCAAGAGCACGGCTACATGGCCATCTCGGCAGACAAATTGCCCCACTAGAAAGCGGAAACCCCTCGGTGACTTCCAGCAGGTGCAAACGTAATACACCTCGGGATTGAAAAACAGTTTCGCCGTGGACTGACTTTGTCCCTTAATAATTCGAATCATGAGAGAAAATTAATTGATGAAAAATGAAGCTAGCTAGATGAAGGCTGGAAGTTGTGTAAAGGGCAGATGCCATTTGCCTCGAACGTTCAATAACTATGTTAGAAATTAGTGAACAGTCATTGATCTCAGGTGAAATTATTGGCGTTCCTTGTCTTTGACACACAACTGACATGACGCCGCAACTGTCAGCTGCATGACAAAGTTTAAGAGGTAAGTTAGTTTAAGCTGTAGTGATATGAATACAACTTCTGACTCGCTTGCAGGAGTCAGTCTCCGAGGCGATGCTTCAGAACAAAACACCCAAACGACAAGAAATCTACACAGGAATAGCTTTCAGTCAAGGGATGAGGGATGACATACCCGGCTATCTAGATAGTCGCTGGGGAAGCTTTCCAGTCCATTCAAACAATTACATTAAGTAACCTCCAGCTCAGGTCCTCACAACTAGCTAGCTTACATATACATTCTTCAGATGATCAATGATATTATTTTCCAAGTGCTTACAGAAAGTGCTAGTTTCCCACGCCATGAAACTAGAAAATTGCGATAGCATTGGGCGGCGTTGCAACGGCACCCGTATAGTTGAGCGGTGACGAGGTCAGGAAGAAGGACCATCTTCCCAGTCTCTTACATATCTCTGAGAGCGCATCCAGATCGAACAGTTCACCGATCGGGGTGCCCCATCCGGAGAGAAGAATCGGATGCAGCATCCAGTCGTGATCCACAGGCGCTATTAGTTCAAGCATGGTCAGTTTCTCTCCATTCCATGTGCACAACTGAAGAAACAGCAGGTAACATACGAATGCATTCAAATGCCGGTGAATCCGCAGCAACTGCGGCAAACTGGTGGTTCCAGAGCCATTCAGCTGTTTCGCGAGATTGGCAAATTCCAGGAAAGCGACCAAGCTTGGCCAATGATTCTCTTCCGGAGCTGTTCAGCTGCCCATATCCATCAACAAACCCTGGAATCAAAAGAAGGTAAGCTAAGACTGAAGCTGAAATTAAAAATGTAGGGATTCAATTCTCATGCAACTCTTACCAGTCCGCAAGAAAAGAATATCTCCTCGCTGCAAGGTGACGTTCTTCTCAGAGATGATTTTCTTGATCTGATCTAGATGGATGGCAGAGTTTGTGATCGGATCGAACTCAATCCCATTCTCGCGAGCCCATGAATAGTAGTCGATTAATATCCCACGACCAACAACGCCGCGGGCGTTCCAGTTCGAACAGGCGCCAGCCGTGCTATCGGTCGTGTCATGAATGTCATTCTGCGTCACACTGTGAACAGCGCCGGCAATGTTAGCGCTTCCCATTGTATTGCACTGCATGCATTGGTCTGTGATCCCACACACCCGTTGTAAAATTTGGCTTCCTTTTGATAAGCGAAGTGGCGGAAACTGTCCCACTGAGAGCTCAATTGCGTGTTGAAAGTGATCTGGTTGTGAATTGTCAGCAATTTGCCTTGAGCTTCTCGTTTGGGTATGATGACCCCGCTTCAGACTTACGATATCATCATTGATCACCCTCGGTGCTTTGTTGATTATCTTCCGCTCAAATGGCGCCCTCCCAAGAAATGGTGGATCGATTAGGTCTAATGGAAGACTAATCAAGAAACAATGATCGTCAGCAGGATGTGAGCTTTTTCTTCCGGACCGACCACTCACTTGAGAGAGATCCTTTCTCCGGTTTTGATTTCGTTCTTTGCAGTCTCCAATAGCTTTTCGTCGCTGAGATAGTTCAGCGATCCAAGGTGGTTGTCTTCCCATAAGCCCCAGGCAGAGTGCGGTGGATCTCCCGCTCTGAGGGGAAGTTCGTCAAAGCGACAGATATTTTTTTTGGCTCATTCTCAGGGACCGTATATTGATCTGGTGAGGTAACAAAGGATGCTAAAGCATGTTGAAGGATCTCTTGGAGAGGTAACTTGGTCTATATATTCGGTTCAGTCGAGCTCGGCTTTTCAAGGAGAATGTGGGGCAGGTTTAGATAATGCTATTTTATCCGCCTCGGAGGTCACATCTCCGCAAATTGGAGATCGCGTATTGTCGCAGTTCCCGAGGTAGTGGTTGGCGAGGCTCACAGGATCTCCTTTAAGAATCCAAAGCAATTCATCCCCAGCGACATTCGTACCCAATTAGCCACCCAAGACTCAAACAAGTCAAGTGGTACTCTGCAACAACACTATCAACCCGCCGCCATGACTACCGGAGAGCGCTTGCCTGGAACAGTCTTTGTTACGGTTGGAATGTCGCCAATTGACACGCCGGACAATATAAGCGACTATCATGAATGGTACAGGCAGGAACATATGCCCATCCTGAGAGATGTGCCTGGATGGCGCACTGGCAGTCGGTACAGGCGTCTGGCTTCTTATGGAGATCATGCCGAATTCTCTTCGCCGTTTCTGGCGGTCCACCAATACAACGAACAAAACGGTCTTGGTGGTGAGCAATGGTCGAAGTCGGTCAATTCACCATGGACAAAGCGAATTATGTCCAATTTGGCTGATCCAAATCATCGACGAGTTTGGAGATTGGCAGTCTAGACGTGCAGCATCAGATGGTGTTCTTCAGAGGGCTTGACACAATATGACCTGATTATTCATCCCGCTTGTATTTATCCCATGGATCTACAATCAAGAGCCAGGTAAACAGCTGAATACGAATCATCATATAATTATCACGGTAGCTAACCACAAGATTTCTCTACTATCTTGGAGCCTTTGTTGAATATTGACGTCCCAGAAAGCAATTTGCCAGTCCAATGTCGGGCCTTGGATGAAGATTGAAGGTTTGTTTGTTAGATACTACCTATGCACATGTGAAGGGACCAAGGAAGGAGATAATGAAGATGGATCTCTAAGATCATTTACTATAGGACATAGGCTTTATAGTTCAAATATGGCTAGCAAACAAAAGTGGCCAAGAAACTAAGGCAGCTCATTGCTTGCCAACATGGTTCGTTTATCTGACCTGTAAAACACCGCTAGGCCGTCTGCCGGGAAGGCCGATCTACATATTCTCACGATTGATGAACCCGATCCCACTTTCCACCCACCGAGCCACACGCGGACCAAGGGACAAAGACCGCTCGACTGATCTGTTATTAAACGGCGTTTAGTACTTCACCACAAAAAGATTAACAAGCCTTCCACTTACTTGAGGTCACCCACGGCGGCAGACGCTTCATGGACCTCCTAGGCCGCACGGTCGGTGAATCGGGTAAACAGCAAAATGCCACTATTGTTCTGATCCGGGGTATACTCGAGGCCCCAGAAACTCAGCGTCGTGCTTTGCTCGTGGGAAGCCGCGTGATCGGCTACCCGCTGCAGCGCTTGCAACAACGCCGGCTTCTAACCGGGCTGAGGGAAATACTCCATGACAATAAAATGGTGTGACCCTGTCCGGCCTTGAAAGATACAAGCTTTCTCTTGGGAGAGGAATCCGACTCCACAGGGCTGGAAAATACAGAGTTCAATCGGTTGTGTGACCAGGTCTTCTGGCTCGATCGTTTCTCTCATCTTTTTGTAAGGAGCGCTGGCCCGGTGAACTTGAAGATGCGCATTTTCATCTTGGTATCTTTGGCCGGCGTTAGCGCAGGTATAAATTGTTGCATACAACGTTGAACCCACACTTCGAAGCCTCTCACCCAGTAATCCGGAATTTGATCGTTGTTCCCACCGCTAGAGAACCATCCATAGGCCACAGTTTTGGGTTCCGAGGCCAGAGTAACATCGGCGATATCTCTTAACAGATTCATAAACTTCCGGAGCAATAGTCAATAAGAAGTAACTATGCACGAGAGGGGTGGGTGGAGACAGACCTTGTCACGCTTCTCAGTGGACGCGCAGGCAACTAATGGGCAAATCACACGCATGCTGTTCTTAATAAAGCTGGATCTTTGTATCTCACAAATGAGTCTCTCGACGTTGTTCTCTTGCCCTCGTACTTTGACTTTACATATAACCGAAAGCAGAGTGGTTCGGAGGTCTGACATCCGGTCTGAGTAAGCGTCGGTCAATGGACATGCCATCCCCGGGAACTTGGCTTAATGCTCCACTTGGTGTTGATCCCGATACCGTACTCCATAGGACAATTGGCTACCGGGTATGGAACTAGATCCATATGCTTTTTGATGGACTGAATATGAAGACGTCTTCCCGAGTGATTTGCTATCCACTCCCTTCCCATGGATCGGACGCCTAGATTTCGCAGACTGTGAAAGATACCGTAAGAGACCTTTAAGGCCTGGCATTTTACTGCTCAAACAAATAGGAGACAGATTATGCTTGCATATGGGTCCACTAATCGAAAAAATTGAATGAGCTTGACATTGGATCTCAACAACTTGGAAACCACTCTACCGGAACAAACCATAAAGAATATGCGAGTCTTCATCCACGACCATGTCGCCCATATTGATTACCTCGTCGAAAGACCCAGATGTCAGATCCTGAAAGAGAGTCTGCTCATCGATATTCTCAAAAACTCTCGTGTAACAACTTTGATTCAGTGGCCGTTCTTGTGAAGGTACTCCATGTTCAATATCATTCCGATGAGTGGTAGTTGGCTCCGAGTGGAGGCCAGCGCGCTCGAACAAAGAGCGAATAATCATGATGGGCTTCCGTAGTCCAAAGTTGGCGCCATTTTGCAGCTCTTTCAATGAGGTCCAGAAAAATGCTGCAATAACCTTCTGCATCGTGTCCACCGCCGTTTGCTCCCCAGAGGACTTCAACGGAATAATCGACGCTGCTGAGAATAAAGAATAGGAGAACATGTATGTCGCTCGCCGAAACGTGAATGCTTGGCGATATGCTTTTGCGAGTTCATAGATTTGAAACGCGGCGGAGGTGCAAATAGCTCGAGGTTCATTCTCGTCTAGCTCGAAGTGTCGAAGATGACCTTCTGCCAAGAATGGACGATAAAGGAGAATATGTAGCATGTGAAAGGTCATTCTGAAGAAACCCCAGGCAAAATTAGTCAGAGGGCGTTGCAAAGGAGCCACGGAGAAAACACAAGCAGTATGTTCGAGATGCGACTCACGGTGGATTGAATCGATGGGCCGGTGGCACAGGGTCATGCTTAGGGTGGTATAGGAGATGCTTTGGAAGGCGCTGTTCCCAGGATTGAAGGTCGCTTTGCACCCTTTTAACCTCCCGCAAAGTATTTTCTTTCGATAGGAAATGAACTTTAGGCGTATAGAAATGCTCAATGATGTCAGCCATAATGTCGACAAGTTCAAGTAAACTACTGAAAGTGGAAATTGTATAGGCTGGCTGGGGAAAGGAAGGAGGCAACGGTGGCGATGAGGCTCTTGAATCCACATATGGTGACCATAGTTCGAGTTCCTCGTAGGTGTCGATGAGCAACCGCGATGGCTCGATGCCAATTGCTACAAGCGCTGGGGGTCTCCCAAAATAGAGTGACTGGAACTTGTCGTTGATATAGGCACCCCAGAACACTCTTCGACTCATCTCCATATCCACGTGGGTGAACTCGATCTGAGACTGTGACGCGTTGAGAGGGTCTGAAGTGCGTGTTTGATCAGGGCTGATATGCAAGCCAAGGTCGACCATCATCCTGTATCCTAGACCGGAATAATGCCAGCCAGCCGTTTGTTGTCCGTTTGAGACCAAGCTCGACCCTACAGTGAGGAGGCCGACAGCGCTAGCAATGCTGGACTTCTCCAATCTGGAAGCAGCAGTTGTTGGAAACGTAGGTAGAATCTCCGGCCGAGAGACTGCCGTTCGCTCACGTCATCATAGAGCTCTTTTCGATCACTGTTGAGCGCTGACGCCAAATAGATCGCGTTAAGTAGGAGTTTATTGATGTACGGGCCGCCAGTGGCCAAACTGTGCATTAACGCAGGTCGATAGCTAAGAAGATAGGCCATGTGATGATGATTCCAATGCAACTGGAGAAGGTGCCACGCAGTATCAAAGTCGAGGCCATCCAAATCAAACCTGCGTTCGGTCATGTAGGTCCACTCCTTTTGCACTTCCAAAGCCGAATTGGCAAATAGTTGGCAACGGGCAGCTGATATGTCTTCATCAAACTTCTCGGGCGGCGATGGAGATGCAACTTTTGCGGCGCTTGTACTGGTAGCGTCGTACGGTTGTGTATATGAAGCCATGGGAATAGGAGTGCTCATGCGAAACGTAGATGATGGTCCATAAACAGCAATACGCCCTTCGCTTTGTACCAGCACGTGTGATTCAACGGATGACGACGCGTTCCCTGATGGATCCATCCTAGACCCACAAAATTCCTCGTAGTTGCCACGACAGTTGACAAAACTTCCCTGGGCCGAGTTACTTGGAAGTGGTGTTCTCGAAGCATTGCTGGGATGATGAGTGGCAGGATCACCTGAATAATTGTATGGACTCCTTGACATCGGGGATCTGGACGCAAGTGTTTGAAAGCTCCTCATAGATGATGTTGACAAAGATCGGCCCCTATTGTGTTGCGTAACAATCTGATTTAAGCGCTGCACCGAGTCTTCAACCACTTTCAGCCGGGTTTGCAAGAACGAAATTGTCTCTCGCGATACACGCGATGTTTGGCGTCTGTCTTGCGCATACGTGCATGCTCGAGCCTGGGAGCGACAGATGCCACATTTTGGTTGTACTCCGTCGCATTTAACCTAAGTTTTCCATTCTTTAGTTGAAAAAACCGAGGTGGAATCAGGATAACGAATCGGTGGATGCGGGAAAAACTCACCTTCTTTGATCTGCAGGATTGACAAGCTCGAGTTCTCCTCACAAGCAAGTCTGGTGAATTAGCGACTCTTATCATGTCTGAGCAACGCGGTCTTTGTGTGGGAGGATGTTGACACGGGGACAAATTGGGGGATCAACTCGATTACCCCGCGTCTTCCTCGGGGACTCGGTCCGTGTTCGGGCGAATATAGCGGAATACCGGAGGGATTGGTTATTCCTATCTAACTTGGCTGACAACCGGACTGGAATTGCCCCCATGGAATAGGGGATGCTGAGGAGAAGAACGGTGAAGGTCATTTGCTTCTGCTTCCAGTCACGCACATTGGCAGTAGATTTCATAAGTTATCCTCTGGTAGGGCTACGGTGCCTTCAAGCCGATTGCAAGGTTACGAACTGTACTAGTCTGTCACGAGTTAATCAAAATTTGTTTTTCGTTCTCCATAGCTATCAATTCCAGAATTAAACGCGAGATAAGAATGCTCGAGAATGCTCATAACTCATCATTCTGGGACTATGCCATTATTTTTGACATCTGCGGGTTTTACGGGTACCCACTTAGGTCTTAGGTCTGGTTCTGCGAAAGACGATCCGCCCATGGGCTTGCTGACTAAGACCCGGGGCTTACGCGGTAATAGTCCCCATACCGCTCAGGGTGTTAATCCACCAGTGCCCAACGTAAATCTATAGCCTAATGTAAATTTTGAAGCTGTTCAGCTCTATCCCATAGGGGTCATTGTAATCAAATTCATTATAACTGACTAAGCATCCGTTAGTATAGGCTTAGGGTTAGACCTCATAACCGCCCGCGAGCCGCCCTCTGAGGGCCGCCCACGGACCCACAGTTTTACGGGCGGAGTCTAGTAGGCAAAAACCGGCACAAACGATACGCTTATATAAGCGAAACTAAGTTATATTATATTTTTCCCTAAAAGTAAAACTGCTTCAGATATTATATATTAAATCAGAATATTTTTATCTATTTCATTGAATTTTATAGGGGGGTTTAAAGTTACTATCCTTTAGCGGGTATAAATAATCTAAAATTCCGAAAGAGATTAGTGTTTAGTCCGAAATTCCTAAAGGGGATATAGTCCGAAATATGTAGGGTTAGGTTAGTCTAAAATATAGGTCTAACCTTATATATTTTTGACTAAGCTAACCCTACATATTTTAGACTAATATAACTATATATATTTTAGACTAACCTAAATATATATTTTTGGACTAACCTAACCGTATATATTTCTTATTATGCCTATCTCCCTTTTTTTCGATTACTATTTCTTACATTCTATCTTTATCGCCTTAATATAAAATTTAATAAATAATAAGTAGGAGCCTTATTTTCTTGAACCCTAATCTTCGCTATATATTATATTAGTAGGTTCACTAATATTATATAAATATAGATTCGGAGAAAACTTTATTCGCTTAGCCTCTATAGCGAAGCGTAATACTTATAAGCGTATTAAGAAGAGATAAAAGAAATAATAAGAGAGAGAGAAGATAGGCTAACTAATAAAGTATCTTATTAAGACACTAACGCGGAAGGTCTTAGAGCTATATAAGAGGGTATTAAAGCTATATATATTTATTCTTATTTAAATAAGATTAATATATATTAGATTAGGTTATTTCTTATATAAAATTGAAGAAAGAGAATTAGACCACTATTATTATAAGTAAGGATCTTAAACGCTAAGAGATATCTTACTCTAATACTTACTATATAATAATCTATAAAAAATTATACTTAATAAGGTCGCTTATACTAACCTTAGTAATACTATAAATTATAATATTATTATAGCCTACCCGCGTGTGGCCCGCTACGCTATTATAATAATATATTAAACAGGTCTCTTAGGATAATTTCGATATATTAAGCCAGAACTAAATAATAACTATAAATAAATTAGTCTTACGGCTATAAAAAGGTTATAAAGACACTATATATATATTATTAAATAATAAGATTAGGCTACTAAGAATAGTTAGGCCACTAAAATAATTATTAATTTACTATATATTATAATTACTTAAGAACTAAAGCACTTAAGATTCTTCTTTATAAGGGGAATAGAGAACTAATAATAAAGAGATAAGAGTATATATTAAGGATAAGAGGATATAGAAGAAATAAAAGACTATAGATATTATCTTTTAGGTTTAACTTTTATATAGGCTTAATTATATATAGAATATAGATATTTTAATACTCTTTTCTATATTAGCCTCTCATAGAGGCCGGGTTTCCTTTATATATATTATTTATTATAAGCTATATATCTAGAGTTATATATAATAAGTTCTACTTTAGATTTAGATAAAGCGCCTATATAGCCTTAATAATATTAGTTAGGCTTAATTAGGTTAAGAGAATTTAAATTGAATTAAATTAAAGTCACTAATATTATAATCTAAGGCTATTATAAACTTTACGGTAAATATTAGTATAAGCGGCTTTAAAGGGGATAAGGTTAACTTAGTTAAGTTAGTCGGAAATATATAGGGTCGAACTTAGTCAAAAATATATAGGATTAACTTAGTTAGAAATATATAAGGTTAGGTCTATATTTTAGACTAACCTAATCTTATATATTCTTAACTAAGGCTACTCTCTATATTTTAAACTATACTTAGCTTCTATATTTTTCTTATATACTATAGGTATCTTAGTAAATATATAATATTATTTATATATTATCTTATTTAATAATTTATTTAAACTTCCTATTATTTAAAGAATTAGTATATAATAAAGGCTATAAGTTCGTGACTCTCTTAGGCTTACTCTTAAGATATATTTTCTCTAATAACTTATATAAATTACCCCTTATATTTACTCTATTAACTACTAACGCTATATTGAATAAATATCTATAAATTTATAATATATATAATTTATATAAAGTAAGTTATTTACTAATATCTATTAAAAAATATATAAGATTTAATAAGTATTAATAAATATAGCCTTAGTAGTATATAATAGCTATTAATAGCCTTAAAGGGAGGGGGGGATTACTAATAGCTATCGATCCTTATTAAACCTAATATATTTAATAGCTATTAGTAAATAGTAAAGGTTACTTATTATTTTTAGAGATTATTATTTTAAATATTATTTTATTAATATTTACTTTAAGATAAACTAAGCTCCTATACTTCCTTTTTTCTGTCTCTTACTATCTCTCGCCATTATCTTATCTCGCTAAACTTCTCTTTAGAGAAATACTCTAAATTTATTAAGAGAATTCCTCTTACATAATTACTTATTTCTTTGTAATATAATTATAATCCTTTTAACTTTCGAAGATCCTCCCCTTAAGGACTAACTTCTTTTTATTTTACAAATTTTTTATCTAAGTGATATACTTCTATATTTGATTAAGCGGCCCTTAAATATAAACTTTACGCTCTTAATACCGTTAAGCCCACTAATAGGTCTATTATTATTTATTATAGATTGAGTTATAGTTGATAAGCTCCGTAAGCTCCTTATCTTTAATTACTAAGCGCTAAAAGCTATTTATTAATAATATATTATATAATATATAATCTTTAGTAATTAGCTTTCGCTTAAGTAAGTCGCTATAATTAATAATAAGCTATAGTTACTTAATAAGATTCTTAGGGCTTTATATAGCTCGCTAAGTAAGCTACTAAAATATATAATAAGAAGAGAAGTTCGCGTAGATCTACTAAGAAATCTCCTTATTCTTATTAAGCGCTAAGATTAGTAGCCTATTAATTTTAGTACTATTCTAAATATCTTCTAATACTTACTCTAATATTTAGGTAAAAGAGTTATAGTAAACGCTACTTCGCTTCTCTCTTATTTTATCTAAGATAATATAGGGAGGTCTACCTATATTTAGCGATACTTAATCTATCTATTAATAATATATTTTATAAGATCTTAGCCTAAGTACTAAAGAAGCGTAAAATAGAATATATATTACAGAGGGAGCTAATTCCCTATATCCTTAGGCTAAAAGTTATATTTAGTTAGATTAGGGAGTACCTAATATATATATATGAAGATTATGTAAACTAACTCGCGCTATTCTTATATTACCTAATAAGAGTAGGTTATAATAATTATATTAAAGCTATAGCGAAAGAATTCCTAGTATAATTTTATATTTTAGTGTATTTATTAGACTAGCTCCCCTTATTAATTATCGCTATCCTAACCTTAGAGTATCGCGAATATTATATTAATATATTAGATATAGGTCCCTTTAGGCCTAAGTAAGTATATATATCTTTTAAGCTATCTATCCAATAATATATTATAAAAGGTCTATATTATAAGTAGACCTGGCACTCACCCGCCCCGCGGGTCCAAGATCAGGAACCTCCACCCGCACCTCCGAGGGTTAGGGTCCAACCTCACCGACCCTGACCCTGACCCTGACCCTCTAAG